GTCTGGTTTTTGTCGGAGTGATTCGGATGCCACTTTGACATAGGTGATTTCCAGGGCATTGCCAATCCCATGATTGTTGGTGGCATTTTGAACATGCCGGCAGGTTGCAGGTTTGGGATGGCAGCGATCTTCAAAGGCTGCTAGAGGATTGCAGGGTGACCAGTTCGGCCAAGGTTGATCTATTTTCTGCAATTCCCTGGCGGCTTGCTCGGATTGATAAGACTTTGGGGGGTTTCCGGGGGGTATGCTGTCCTTTTCCCGTGATGATTGTGGAGGTTCGATGGTGTCATGGCGGTCGTTGGCTGGTGGCTGTGATGTTGACGTTGGTGGCAATTGAGTGGTACCTGCAGAAATCGCACCTCTGGGTATTATTGGTAGCGTTGTGTTCGTGGGAAAAGTATCTTTTGTGCCACCAATAAGATTTGGAAACACCAAAGGTTGATAGCCCATCAGAAGTACTGCCACGGCTATGGCTGATACCGGTATGCATATCCAACGCCGAGAAATGATCAGCTTTGGGGCTTTGTCTCGTCTCTGTAATTTTCGGAGTCGGCTCGTCCCTTTGGTACTTCTACCGGTACCGGTACCAGTGGTCTTTCTCGATACCGGTAGGATAACTTTGACCATCACTCAAGCTTGCTCTCTACTGTACCGGTATCGATAATCCTGGCTGCATGCTCATCATGAGCATAAGTGCAATCGAAGAATGGATGATAAACCTATGTCATGGGCTTGGGGCCTTTCATTTGTGGGTGCCATCGTCGCATCGAACAGATCCCCCTTGCCCCATGGCAGAAACGAAGGTATGATAGCATGCCGCCATGACATCACTTGGTAACATGACGTGGTTAAAACGGAAGTTCAGGTCCCGATGGAACGTAGATAACGTACTTCAAACGTTCATTCAAGATTCAGTGCACAAGTTGTGAGTCACAGTCACGTCACAAGGATTGGTCACCATAAGAAACCACGTGTCAAAATCTACCCCTTTCCCTTCATGATAAGATTCCCATTTTCCAAGTTGTTGTCTTCCCTCCTTTCATTCTGAAGATTGGTAGCTAGATCGGTTGAGATACCAAAATACAATGATTGGAAGTAGAGAGATACATCTGGTTGGACTCTGTTGGAGTCTGTGTAATTTAGTCTGGGCATATCAAATATCTTAGTACCAAGGACAAAGATCAGTCATGAATTGATGTCATTGGTCATGATTCCTTTATCATGATTGACTTAAACACGAGCCGATGTTGCGTCTCAAGTGTGACCGTGTATTCATTCCGTATTTGACAGCGTCTTTGAGCTTACTTTGAGCGTCCGTCATGTCTGAAGTGACATGCAAAATGACGTTGAGTTTACTAAAACACGAAGAGCCATTGTTGGATTTTCATTGGGAGTCATGAACAAGACGCACATTGCTCTGAACACGGTTTGCTACGTCGCGTGCTGCTACTGTACGGGCTTGCCAGTCTCTAGAGGTTCTCTACTAGTCTAGCTGGAGTGGCTGAATGGACTGACAGTAGGGCATGTTTTTAAAAAAGGCTTGTCCCGATCAACGATTCTTATTTCTTTTTGGATCTGCAGGCCAGCGTCGTGACTAACGGTATATGTATATATGGCAAAGCCACAGCAGAGCCGCGATGTACGGGCTATATACTTTGAACGATGTGCTGCGGAACTGCCTCTTGTTGGTCTACATCGGGTATAAAGCAAAAACCATGCGTTGATCGGGCGCTGCCTCGTGTCGTTTTCTACCTAGACACGTACACGGCACACAAACAGACAGACAAACAGACAATCATACAAATAAAATTCACAAGGGCCCTACATCCGTTGAGAGCTACTAGTACATGTACTCTACTGGTAGCTAGCTAGCTAGTATTCGATTCGATTCATCATTCGATTTGATGGTTCCCGAAATCAGACGCGTGCCGGGTCGAAACGCCACGATACGGCTGCGACCGTGGATGCAAACTCTGCGATGGTCCAAGCACCCACAAAAGGTTTGCTGCTGATATTGTACCCGCACTTGCCAGTTTGCGAGCTAGCTAGAAGCAAACATTTGAACAATACCTCAGGCATTCGAAGAAATGGTGTATGTTTATCATTCTCTGGCGGATGAGGGCGATGCCAGCGATTCGTTGGCGTCCCTGATTGCGAGGCGTCGTGTAAGCGCCGTGGAAATTGCCATCGGTGGCAGCAGAGTCCTGCTAGATCTCTCCACTCAATATGCCGAAGATCTAGCGGCAGGCACAACACAATACGTACATTTGGTTCTGCATGTATCAATGCAAAATGAGCAGAGAGTTCGTCCTTCCATTGTTGCTTCCACGCTGGGTCCATTCCTGAGGGCGAACAAAGCGAGAAGCGAGAACCCTTATCATCGCCTGTCCCTTTCGGCTTTCTGTGGATGAAAGTGACGAGAATAGCACCGATTGGTAGTCTTTGAAAGAGGCTCTGAAAGGAGCTACCAGCATAACGAAGATCATTTTCATGGGAGTTCATATGGATCGCTGGGCACTTTTTATCTTGTCGCTGCTACCCCGTATCAGGGCGGTTTCACTTAATTTCGATGACATTCCGCAGGAACGGCGACAAGAGGCAGCTACCAACCTGACGAATGCCATGTCATATCTGAACACAACACGAGAGTTGAGCATGACGCTGCATCAAGCGACTGCGCGAGATACATTGGATGTGTTTCTCAAAGCGGTCCGTTTACCCCCTTCCATCCGCGAGGTCCACGTTCCTTGTGGCGTGGGATTGTCCGAGACCAATCTCGAGAACCTTTCCACTTTGTTGAACGACAACCCCATCCGAAACCTGAGCATCAGTGTCCAAACAAAGATTTGTCTGCGTCCACTAACAGAAGCACTCAAAACGAATACATCTTTGACTTATCTCTGCGTCAGCAGCGGTGAGAGTGGCAGGGATCCGCTGCTTCCAGGATATGCAGTCAAACCATTCCTTGAACTTTTGGAGGAGGACCACCATACCTTGAGCCACCTAACTCGGTACTGCGTTGATATGGCGGACAAGGATACAACGCAGAGGAAGCTGGACAAAATCAAGTTCCTGACAGTCCTCAATTGCTACAACAGAAGGGCGCCCCTGTTTGGTCCAGACGCCACGACCAAAGACTGGTTCCGTGTCATCGCCTCACCACGAGGTTTGCGATCCACTATCTGTCGCGGAATCCAACGTTGATACTGGGGGGCTCTATCGCGCCGCTCGACAATAAGGCAACTTGAGAAATGTGTCGTGGTTTCAAGCCGGTGTCCAAACGCCATCTATAATGTGGCAATGACAGTACTCTTACACCTACATATTTTATAAAGCAGCCTCTTCCAGAATCGTTATGTATTGTATTGTGCTCACCCCTATACCAGGTACCAGTACCTGTGTGTCCATGGGAGGTTTGATTGGTAGAGTAAGCTGCTGGCTCGAGAAGCCGAGTGCAACATGCACGTCTACCCGTACCGTCACTGGTACCAGTACAATACAGTACTGGTATGAGAGCACAGGCTCCTCCTCATTATGGTGATCACCACGAAGCTCTCAATTGTGCTGCGCAACTTTCCCCTGCTCAAAGCACAGAGGGCCATCTCAATTTTTTAATCCTCCTGACCAGCAGCCAAGTAATCGTTTGGTATCTGCCAGGCGTTCACTCGCTCCATCAGACAGACCAGTAGTCTTGGGCATGGCAGAGCTGGTCTTACCCAACTAACTCCCATCGTCTTAATTATCTTGGTGTGGGATACACTTCAGTTCTAGTACGGATACAAAAAACTGTACTAGCGCAACGCAATGCGATTCGATTGGAGTCGTGGATAAATCAGAATCCTAATCAATTTTTGGAGCCATCCTAATCAATTTTTGGAGCCGCTCCAAAAATTGATTAGGATGGCTCCAAAAATTGATTAGGATTTTAATTATCAAGGACTCGAATTAATCGTCATTCGTTCTTCAGTCTTTAAATCTTCTCAACTACTGGTACAAGTACTTATTAAGACTATTAATAGTACCTTCACACAGCCGACACGAAGATATAATGTCTCTATTTTTGGTTAATGCCTTGAGACCCGTACCGGTTGCTTCATCGTGACTTGCTGAGCTCTTCTTACACGTGCTTTTTACAAGGCTGCTTGCTGCCGCGACAGCTGCTTTTTCAATGCGAAGCGCAAATGGATCTTTTGGCCACCGGCACCATCCCATCGCGGCACAGCCACAACAACAACCAACCATCGACAAAGTTTCTTACCCTAGCTGGTAGAAGACAACCTTCATAAAATCTGCTGCTGGTTCCTGGTGGCTAATACGGTAGCTAGCTCAGCTTTCTCTCCACACAATACAAACAGACGTACCGTACTTCTACACGAGCTATTGCTGTACAGCACCATGAGCAATCGAAGACGAAGTGCCCGTCCTGGGTTTTCAGAGTTTGCGCAACTGCCTTCCCATCAATCGCATCAATCAGGAGGAGGAGGAGATGACTTTCGCGACTTCATGAAGTCTCAGCGGCATCTACGAGCCCGTCACCGTCAAGCAGCCGCTCATCCTCATCATCATCAATCGGGTCTGTTTTCGGTTCAGGAAGATGCTCTACTAGAAGAAGGAGAGCCTCGTCGTCGTTCTTCTGGAGTCGCCTTTTCAAATCACAATCCTCCTCCTCTTCCTGCTGGTGGTGCTGGTGCTGGTGCTGGTGGTACTGCTGGTGCTGGTGGAAGACGACGACGCAACGTTCGTCGTGAAACAATGGTGGCCTTGGAAGTCCTTGGCCAGAGACACCACGAAAGTTCCGAAGATTGGCAGAACTTTTTGCACAGCAATCATCATCATCTCGATAGTCATCATCATCACGATGGTCAAGATGGTGATCAGGACAGTCAAGATGACGACGTCGAGACATTTGCTGGAGCAGGACATCACAGTGCTAGTATGGCCTTGGGCAGTACCACGCACCACACTGCCAAAGACAAGCATCACGATCATCATGATCACCACCACTCTTCCATGATTCTTCCGTGGTACTGTCCTCCCGTACAACGTCAACTCTGGGATGACGATCAAGTCTTGCCCCATGTCAATTGGCACGATCTGTTCTTTGATTTGATCTTTGTCGCAGCGGCCTACAATCTCGGATACCAACTCACCACGGGAATGGACTCGGATCAGTGGCCTCGCGCTGTGGTGTATTTTGTCGGCATTTTTGGACCCCTCTACAAAATATGGGAAAACGATGTCATGTACGCATCCCGCTACACACTGGTCGATTACTCGCATCGGCTCATTGCGGTGGCACGATTTCTCTGTGTCAGTTTTGTCGTTCTCTCCATCAAACCACTCAAATTGTTGGGTGATCCCCGCAGTGCCGAGACCTTTTGTTTGACACTCTCCCTCTTTTGCGAGTCATTGCTCCAGTTGGGACTCAATATCGAATTGTTCTTGTATGGAGATGGAGATCGAAAATCCATTCAAAATCAAACCTTGCGGGAAACCATTTCGCAAGTATTGCCCATGAGTCTCACGTATTTGGGTGCTGCTGTGGTGGCTGGAATTGGACTCTTTGATGCGCCGCCCGAAAAAGATTACTCTTCCTCCAATGGTGGCAGTTACGAACCACTGACATCCCCTTCGACCTCCTCTTACGGCAATGAAACTACCAGCTCTTCTTACAATCAAACCGAAACTGGCTATGGTGATGACAACAATAACAATTACCGATTCTTGGCCGGCGGCTACGACGACTACAAGGAGAAACCGGATGGGGTCAATTGGTCCCTGGCCGATCTACCCTTGGTCCTGTGCTTGACGGTGTACGTATTTGAGCTACTCGTCACACTCCTACAAAAGGGAACACACAACAAAAAGATTCACGATATTCGAGAATACTTTGTACCCAACAATATCGATTACATGATTCATCGATATGGAGAGTGGATCATGTACGTACTTTTTGTAAATGGGAGGATACAGCAAAACAAGGTTGGGTGCAGTCGATGGAATGAATCTCACTCTCACTTTTTGTCGTTTTCACTACCTTCATTCCTTCTCACTCTTCAAAATAATATCAGGTTGATGATTGGCGAGAGCATTCTGTCTCTATTGATTGTGGAAACGACCGAACACCAGGAATACTACATCATCATGGCACTCGGATGTCTTACCGTCATTATTCTACAAATTCTTCATTACGAGTCCGAACCCAGTCATGCCGATGGACATGCACTCTGGCGCAGCATGACGGCCGCGGCATTGTACTCCATTCTCATTCAAATACTGTCCATGAGTCTCATCACCTTTGGAGTGTCCTACAAACTCATGCTCAAAGATGTCGTCTACGAAGACAAGTCGTCGTATGATAGTACTAGTAGTGCTGGTGCTAGTTCTAACTACGATGATGGTAGTGGTGGTCAACGACGACTTGCCGGAGATCCCATTTCCGCCAATGCTGTGGCATGGATGTTCTCTATTTCACTCTGTGCCATTTTGGTTGTTTTGGAAATGATGTTGGTCACACATCGAGGCATCCGAGAAACGTGCCAACTCTTGTTTCGAGGAGGCAACAACAACAACAACCAAAGGGGGTCCCTCAACTGGCCACTGATTTTCGTGGGCGTGCTCAAACTGGGTCTGATTGTCTTTGCCGCAACCTTGCCATTCTACATTGAAAAGCCCGTCCATGTTGCCATTTTTGGATTTGTCATTGTCTGTTCCATGGCCATGATACGAATTTTGGGCTGGGGGTTTGTGCATCACGAAGAGCACATGTTGAATGCCATGAGCTCCTTGACGTACGGAGCGGTTGGAAACTCGGAACCGACCGAAGAATCCGAACAACCACCGACAACTACCGTTGCCAAAGCAATTACCTATGCTCCAGCCGCAGAAGCAGAAGAAAAGGCTCCCACCAAGATTTCCACTAATGGAGTGGCACCCAATAATAAGCCACCGCCACCCACGAGACCGCCTCCACCGCTACCCAGGCCACCTCCACCGCCGCGACCACCGAGCAGGACTCGTCGTCCCCATGTACCCAACAATAAGAGAGATCCACCGGGTGTGTGCAAGTCATCCGACAGTGTGTGCGCCACTACGGAACACTCTAGCTCGGCCTACAATAATAATCATTATCGATCATCTTCCAAACCTCGACCTACGACGACAAGGTCGGCTACAAACGGGAGGGCACCGACAACAAGGGCCCCCCAAGGGAAACAGCACCCGAACGTTGCCAGTCAATGCAATGAGGAACGACAGAACGGCAAAGACGCCGTCCTCCCGAACTGCCTCGAAACCAACGACAAAAGCACTTGGTCAAAAGTCGACAAACTACTAGCTCCAAAAGAGGAAACAAAGCATCTGAAAAGTGGAGCCAGGAAACCAGCGGAATAAACGTCCGCCTGCCTACTCTACTCACACGAAATCGTCCAAAGTTCGGGGAAACCGACTGAACCTTTCGCTTCAGAATGGATAGTGATTAAACTAAATGTATGTCAATAATAAGATGCATATCGCATAATGCTGGCTCTGAGTATAATGCAACGGGGCATCCGGTCGATCCGATGGTTGTCATGAGTGGAGGCAGACCAGCTCCCAAAAACGAGTCCTGTAATACTACAATGACATGAAGACAGGCAAAATTATAAACATCTCTATGATTGTTTGAGTTTGATTAGATACTACAAACCATCCCCGTGCTTGAGCAACGTGCAAAAGCCCATCATTGATGGCTGTGATGGTTGAATCAAGGAGCAGTGAGGGCAATGCCCTGCGCCTTGCCGGCACGGTTGGCTTTTTTGCCTGTGCTGCGCTTTTTGCGTTTGTCCCCTTCCGATTGCGTCCTTGTCTTGGAGGAGGATGCCAAGTCGCTTCGTTTCACGCTGATATCACCCCGGCGTGTCTTGGTGCATTTGCCAGTCCGGGAATTGCCTTTCCACAACAAACGCTTCTTGCCACCACGGCTACTCTTCAGCCCATCCGCGATTGATTCGATGAGCTCTGTGGTTTCATAAAAACCTGGGCTCTGACAAGGGCAGTACGGGTAGTATGTGCCATTCCTCTTCCGGTAGTACGTATCGTACTTGTAACCGTACGCACCACAATACCAACACTGATTCGGAGGATACTCGTCATCATAATGGCCAGCACAAGGCACCCCCTGCTGGGCGCAGACAAAGCAAAAACGTCTCTTACACCAAGTGCAATACACACGGTCGCACCCTTCGGGTTTGATGATCCAAATGCCACACTGGCGGGTGGGGCATTTCACAGCCCCATTTTCTTCCAACCAGGTTTGAAAGAATTCGTCCGGTTCTTCGTTGGGGTCGTGACGGGGAACCGTAAACCAACCATCCAGTTCTTCGTCTGGGTCCTCCTGGATATCTTCTTGTGCTGTTGCTGCTTCCATTGGTTGGCGTTCTTGGAAGGGGCGCCCCAAGAGCTGGACAATGTCCCATGTATCGATAGGCAACCGGCAGGTTGGACAACCAGGATACACCTGTGGGGTCTTTGATTCGCAATGCTGCACCCAACCGGCGAGGCAGGGCTTGCAAAAGCTGTGAGAGCACGACGTTGCGTCCAAAGAAGCAACCTCATCGTCCTTGCTTTCTTGCAAGCAAATGGGACATGCAGTGGGCATGGCTCCGTTGTTTTTTAATTAATTGTTGATAGAGATGAGAGATTACAAATAATTGTGAGATCTCGAGCAGCTCTGGTTTTACCAAACGTGCCTATTCTGGCAATTGGCACGTACGGACAGACGGGCCCAAACCTTCAATGCCCATGTTATTTCCTTTTCACGATCTTTAACTCTTTGCCTACCGCCCCAAGTCCCAGTTCACACTTCAGTCCCAGTTTAGCTTTTGGACGCCGTAGCTGACTCGTACTGTAGCAGTGGACGAGTTTCCTTTGAAACTTCTACGTGGTATCCTCTTCGCTTGATGGTATCTTTATGGTACCGGTACTCGTAGGCTAATAAGATACGATGGGCTCTTGATACGAAAACCTTTGAGTTCCTTCCTTCAAGTAAGCAAGTTACAAAGCAGGCAGCCAGGGATGCACAGTAGCAATTGGAAGTTTCTGATTTGGACTTCTTCCAGATCATTTTTTTTTTGGGGGGGGACACGAGTATTGTGCCGTGCGGGTATGAGCGTAAACGATGAAGCATGGCCAATAAGGGTAGAGGGAGGCGGTTTGGTGGCAGCAGCGGCAAGGTAGCGGACACTTTTGCGTACTTCATCTGGAGTGGTACCAGGTACCGGTCATTCAGAGTCATTACAAAAGCAAGCACATGTTATTTCTTTTTCAATGTCTTTAACTCTTTGACCACCTTTGGTTCCTATGCATCTTGTCAGTGGACGAAAATGGGGGGAAGGTCTCAATAGTCCTTTTCAAATACAGTAGCCTACAAGACAAAACCAAGCGACCACCAAGATAATACACGCGGAAGCCAAAAGTTACAGCACCGACTTGAAACGCAAAACCTGAAACATTCTTTCCCTTGAATGGACTTGTTCAAAGGAGAGAGGGTCTGAAACAGCACTCTAGAACTATCCCTCGTCTAACCACACAAACAAAGACAAACCAACTATAGTACTTTTATTAAGCTGAGAGTATTAATACAGATACTAGTAAAGAATGAGCAAGAGCAAAGGAGGCGTTCGATCTCGATCTCCTTCTACGGGAAGTAGCATGCTGCATGCTTCTACCTCGCAACTATCGTTGGGTTCCAGTATTGGCAGTGGGAAGAAATGGTGGGAACCTAGCACGGATGAATTGGAAGACTTGAAGGCGCAACAACGACGGCGTCAATCACAGCTGGATCAACCGGATATCACGGATGCCATGCTGGAGGCTCTGGAGAATGAAGAACAAATGGAACAATTGGCCACTCAACTCAGCAAGGCCGCTCCAGCTAGTCATCACAGCAGTAGTACTGATAGTACTGGTAAACGAACCATACGGAGAACCAAGTCCATGGATCCCTCGGTTGTAAGACAACAACTCACTCGACAGCAGCAATTGTTCAAACTGCAGCAGCAGCAGTCCAAGCCTGCTCATACTGCTACCACTACTACTAGTACTAGCAGGAGTGGTCTGTACTACAAGTCCAATAATAAGATGACCCACACGACATCCACGGAAGACTTGAAGAATTTGAACATGAAGACGTATGCTGCCAACAAGAGAAGAGGCTCCATGTTCCACAAACACAAACACAACAACAACAACAACAAGAGAAATCCAAACAACCGAATGCTCAATGTCTCCAATCACTCCACCAATTCCACACATACAATAGACTCTATGGACAGCGAAGGAGCTGTCATGGGGAGAGAGTCTTATTTTGATTCCGATACCGATACACCCAGTCATTTACCCTTACCACCCCAACTACAACCTACTCAGCAGCAGCAGTCACAACAACAACAGTCACCACTACTACCCACACAACAACGAAATATAAAGACCAAAATCAAATTGGTACGACGATCTTTTTCCGCAGGAACTCCACTAGCCGTACCAGACGAAGAGGAGGAGCTAGATCAACGCTCCATTTCTACGACCGAAGTCGAAGCCATTATTCAACAAGAAAAACAACTCAAAAAATGCTTTACGGTCGATTGGGGAGTGGGACAAGCCGAGACATTTGTCAAGGAATTGCAACAAAAGGGGAAATTGTGGGATACTAGTACTACCAAACAACAACAAAAACAACAACAACACAACCACAAATCAACGACGACGACGTGGAAACAATTGGAACAACGCATGCAAGCATCTGCCTTGAAAAAGGCACAAGAATTCCGGACTCTGCCCAAACTGAAACAAGCGGCATTTACGCTGGTACTCTCCCAACTATTGACGCCACAAGAGCGAGAACAACTCTATCAAGTCTACACACAATTGCTTTTGCAACAACAGGAACAGCAACAACCTGTTTCTCACAGTCAAGCACAAGAAGGATACGCCAAAGTATTTGGTTCTTCTTCTCATCACAGTAGCAGCAGTCATGGCAATTCCAGTAGTCCATCCAACAACCACGTTGTCATGGACTATTCCGAATTCATGGTCGGTGCTGCCATTTGTTCCCATCATCAGCATACTACAGAAGAAGAAGCAAAACGACGATTGGAAACATTTTCGGGGGAAGCATTGCGCAAAGCGTTTGCCATGTTTGATGCCGAAGGAAAGGGATTCATTTCCAAAGACAATATCAACAAACTCTGTGAACATCAAGATGAAACCACACAACGTATTATTGATGCCGTTCTGTCGTCGCCGGATAATTCTAGCGATGCACACCACTCAAATGACAATCCACTCGCATTTGCCGACTTTTGTGCCCTCTTTTTTGGGGACGAACAACCAGAAAATAATAATGGCAAGTCCCATAATCACAAAAAGGAAAAATCGTCCTCCAAACACACCCGAAAGGAACACAAGTCCTCCAAAAAGAAAAAGAAGGACAAGAAAAAGGAAAAGAAGAAAAAGTCCAAAAAGAAGTCGAAAAAGAAGGACAAGAAGAAGAATGTGGACGACGACATGAGCATTGACGACGACGATGAGACACTCTCGGTCTTTTCTATTGATATCTACGACGATCTATCCATTGATATGGATGGAAGTGACGTTTCCGTTCTCGATGACACCGATTCCACATCCAGTCGATCCAGTGACCGTTCTCCAAAACCAGAGAAAGTAAAGAATCCAGTCTTTGACTGGAAATCCCATTCCAAAACACGTCCCGCGTTAAAAGTCAAAAATATCATGGCCAACAAAAAAGTCAAGGACGAATTGCGACAACGAGTCAACAAGAATAATAATAAGGATGGAGGAGGAGCCATGATGGATTGGTCGGAACGATCCATTTCGTCTTCCTGCCGACGACGACGCGCGATGGACGCGTCCGAAAAATCCGTTTCGTCCTCGGCACGTCGAACTAACACGACAAATAAAATGACGGATGCCTCGGAAAAGTCCCTGTCGTCGTCGAGTCGAAAAAGTCGGTTTCCCATCAATTCACCGCGGTCGCCCCGCAAACGAAGATCCTCGAATCGGAGTATTGGTGCTGCCAACTTGCCCATTCTGGAGACATCAGACGGCGGCATTAAGAAACCGGTCAAGCCTACCCGATCCAGAACGTCCACCGACCTTGCCAAACAGCAGCAATCTCCCGTACAACCCCGCCTTCGTCGATCTTCTACCAATCCCGAGGAAAACAGTAATAATACGGAGACTGGCAAACAACCAACTGCAGACGCCACTTCAACAACAACAACAACGGCATCAGCAGCGGCAATACCAGCTACAAAAGCATCGACTGATTCATTGCCGCCGTTGACAGCGGCACCATCACCGACTATAACAATACGCAATGCCACAAACGGGACGCCTGAGCCTTCCCCCAAAGTACAGGCAGCATCAACGACTGCCGAACCCAAATCATCTGGAGCGGGGCAAGCTTCGTCGGCGGCAACCCCGCCTTCGACTTTGCCACCGGCGAAGATGCCGTCCGCAACTGCGCGAGCGGTTCCTGTATCCGCGCCAAGACCATCCACTGATCAGGCCCCCAAGGCCCCCAAACGTGTGTCTTCGGCTGCAACAGAAGGCAACAAAGTGCCTGCCATTGCGTCCGTAAGAGGAACTCCGTCAGCCCCTGCAGCCACGCCAAAACCAACAACGGCAAGCACAACAGTGCCAGCCCCGAAGGCCGTCTCTCCGAATGCGTCATCTCCTGCGACATCCTCGTCTCCTGCCACAGCACCAAAATCCAACAAAGTGTCTGCGTCTGGGGCCCCGACGAAGGCTGCGTTGTCGGCGCCGAACCACAGCAGTGTTGTCACAACCGCAGTCGCGACCACAGCAGTCAGGCAACCAAACAGCCAAGGAGCACCCGCTGCCTCGGTGCGTCTACCAACGAAACCCGAGATTGCTAAACAACCCGCCACGCAGAACACCGTCTCTCGCGCCGAATCCACACCGATTTCTGGGGCTGGTCCGTCCCCAGCTAGCACGAGCCAAACTTGTGCAAGAGCAGCACAACCCGCCGCGACCAAAACGGCAGCTCCTTCTGCTGCTAGCAGTACCAAAACAGCCGCGGCCAACAGAAATGCCACCAAATCCCCTGTTTTGGTGGCTGCGTCTCCTACTCCTTCCCTTGGCCGACCCGCACAAACCCCAGTCCCAAAGAAAGCTGCACCCCAAACCGCTGGTACCGCCAGACAGCCTTCTCCCTCCACTGTGACACCCAAGCCTTCCCTTGGTCGGCTTTCCCCAGTCCCAAAGCAACCCCCTCCTGCACCACAACAAACAGTTGGTAACAATTCCGTTAAACCACCTGCTTCATCCACTGTGGCTCCCAAACCCTCCCTTCCAGCCCCAGCAAAATCATCCAGTATTACAAAAACACCTGCTCCCTCCAGCATGGAACCAAAGCCTTCCCTTGGTCAGCAAGCCACAGCCCCGAAGAAACCACCTGCTGCACCACCGCAAACAGTTGGTAACAGTGCTACCAAACCACCTGTTTCGTCCAATGCCCCAACCCTCCCTTGGGAAACCAGCCCCTACACAAACACCAGTACTACAAACACTCTCCATCCAGTGGCACCCAAGCCTTCCCTTGGTCAGGCAGCCCCAGCCCAAATGAAAGCCCCTGTTGCGCTACAACAAGCAGCTGGTAGTTCCACCAAACCACCTGTTTCGTCCACTGCGACTCCTAGGCCTTCTCTTGACCAGCCTGCTCCCGCACCAGCTCCAAAGAAACCCCCTGCAGTACCACCACAAACAGTTGGTAACAGTTCCACCAAGCCACCCGCATCATCAACTGGGGCTCCCAAGCTTTCCCTTGGTAAGCCAGCCCCTACCCAAACAGCCAGTACTACCAAACCAACTACTCCACCCACGGTGGCACGCAAGCCTTCCATTGGCCAGGCAGCCCCAGCCCCAAAGAAACCCCCGCTGTACAACAACAGCTTGGCTAACAGTTCCACCAAACCATCTGTTTCGTCCACTGCAACCCCCAGGCCTTCTCTTGGCCAGCCTGCTCCCGCATCAGCCCCAAAGAAACCCCCAGCTGTACCACCACAAACAGTTGGTAACAGTTCCACCAAACCACCTGCTTCATCAACTGTGGCTCCCAAGCCTTCCCTTGGCAAGCCAGCCCCCACCCAAACAGCCAGACCTACCAAACCACTAGCTCCATCCACTGTGGCACCCACCCCTTCCCTTGGTCAACCAGCCCCAGCCCCAAAGATGTTGTCTACTGCGACCCCTGAGCCTTCTCGTGGGCAGCCTGCTCCTGCACCAGCCCCAAAGAAACCCTCTGCTGCACCACCACAAATTGTTGGTAACAGTTCAACCAAACCACCTGCTTCGTCCACTGTGGCTCCCAAACCTTCTGTTGGTAAGCCAACTCCCACACCCGCCAAAAAGAAAACCCCTGCTGCTACAAACCAGCCAGTTGGTAACAGTCCACCCAAACCACCTGCTTCGTCCGCTGTTGCTCCCAAGCCTTCTCTTGGTCAGCCAGCCCCAGCCCCCCAAAAGGTCGAAACCCACACAGCCAGTACCGCCAAACTGCCTGCGTCAACTACAGTGGCTCACAAGCCTTCCCTCGGCATCCCTGTGCAAACCGCTGCCCCAAAGAAGCCCCCTGCGGCACCCACAGCTGTTAACAATACCACGAAAGCACCTGCATCGTCCACTGTGTCTTCGGATGGAATACCTGCTCGAGCGCCGCTGCCAAATAGTGCCCAACCATCAGTAGCAACAACGACAAGCTACAAAACCCCCGCTCAATCCACACCGGCCCAATCATGGAATTCACGCCCCCTCCCTGACAACACCATTGAACAGATCGAATACTACGACGACGATGGTAGCGGCAGCGAGTACGAGGAAGTCGTGGAGATAGTGGAGGTCGTGGTACCCAAGAAACCTAAGAAAAGCTTTGCAGTGGCAGCTCATGAAGTGGGGATTGGTGCGCCCCCTCCTCAGTTCCTGTCGCCAAGAGACAAGGCAGAACTGGCAGCGCAAGAAGAACGGATGCAGCTCTTGTCTGCGCCAGCAAGTAGTGACTCATTGCGCCAGGGACCTGCCGCGACTCCAGGAAGCACTTCACGCCCTCATTTTCCCGTCAATAGTCCTCGTGGTGTGAAGGCGACCAATGTACGAGCAAAGACAACGTCCGTCGAGCAACGAGATCAGGAGGAAGAACGAACAGCCACAAAGCGTGCAGTTAAAAAACCGAAGGGCCCAAAACTCTCCAAAGCATTCTTGTGGGAGTTGAAAATGAACCAGAATGATTTATCTCGAAAGCTGAAACCAGTCATTAAAAGGAAAGGGGACGAGAAAAAGATTGTCGATCCTGATCAACCATATATGGAAGAGCTCAAAGACGTCCAAGCAGAAGTGCTTCCTGTTTGGAGACGAGAAACCTACGCCTACTGGATCTAGGGTCCAGGGGGGCCTGTGGAGGTCCGCTGCAACGCGTCACGTTGTTGGGTTCATGCGCATTGTCTAGGTTGCTGAGCAATTGCTCCGCGATGTTCGAGTATGACTGGTATGTATGCGGCATAACCACCCACGCTGGTTCCGGTGGACCAGACACGCCCATTCATATGCACCGTTCCCAAGGTTGTGACGTACTCTAGCTAGAAACCGAACAATTACTAATTGCAGCCTTGCTCGTTTTATAATGGCAGGCTAATATCCACAAGGACTTGAACTGGTCGACACCAAGTTGCTGGGGCTTTTAAAAACGCCTCGGAATACCATCAAACATCTGCTGGCTTGCTGAGTTGTTGCCCTGCTCTGGTGTGTAACAACCATTCGGTACTCCCGGGGCGTCTTGTTACGATTGCTGATTGATTCTGATCAGTGATCCACCAGGACAAGAGGACAAGGAGAGGTTGTGGCCTCTAGCCGCTGGCTCTAGGAGGAAAGATGTTCTCGGAACAATACAAAAGCATTCTTCATGGATGGCCAGCCTTCGATAAACCAACAAAGTCGTGCGATGAGCTCGTCTGTGGCTGTGGCTGCCGAAAAACTGTACCGTCGCATAGCAAGTACTCGGTACGTAGCTTGTTGATGTCATAAGATTTTGGCAAAGAGTGACTGGATTGTGGCCACTTCTCTCTGTACTGGTACGGACGTACGGGCCCCAAAAATATATGTGTGACTCAATTCACCCAGCGCGCTTGATGATCCTTCGTGGCTGTGAAGCATTTATTTTTCTTCATGCGCTATTACTCACAAGTTTGCTACCAAACGCCAACACAGGCTTTACTCTATGCATATCTGCAGTAACTTTTGGGTTGCCTGACTTTTCATATCATCCCCAATGGGAATCATCAGTGCTTGGGCTATTGTGGTGGTGCCGGCCATGACATAAACGGGGGTTTCTAAATAGGAGTAGGTAGATGATCTACGGAACCCAGCGAGGACCAGGTTTTTGGTACCGGTACTTATGAAATGTGGGATGTGTCGGCAAGCCTTCTCTTCCTGGCTGTACCGGTATGCATAGCCGTGCTGGTTGGTTGTCCGTCGAGAGCTCCATCGAGAGGGAGGAGAGTGACGAGTCGCGGGAGTCGAAGTCAGCTGCAACTACCACCTGGATCTTTCCTCACAATTCAATACGAACGAAGTAACAAGAACAACTACACACAAAAAGCCAAGTACACGATTATGGAACCTTGCCCTACTACACTAGAAACACTCACTGATGTCGAAAGACATGCAACCACGGTCCCGCAGGAAGCCAAAGAAGTATATGAAACGACTTCACGAAGTAACAATTCCTTGGTCAAATCCGTGCTGCTCGCGGAGGGCATTCACCACGATATTGCCAATCATGACTTGAAAGAGCTACCAGACCGATTCGACAGGAGCAGCTACAAGGCCACTGTCACGTGGTTTGGAACGTTGCTCCTGGCTGGCATTGGCATGTTTGTCGAGGTAAGTTGGTTTGCTCAACTGATACAAAGATACGACACGAATCGTACACGTATCTGTTAGTTTAAGAAAGTCGCTGACCGGCCTCTCCCCTTCACTGGTATCTTGGTGTTTAACAATAGGCCTACATCATCATCACCACCGGGCAGATCAAGACGATTTGGCGTGATCAATACCCCGAATGTTGGATGGCTGATAAAGCACAGCACTGTCCTGAATTGATAGAATGCTGTGGCTTGTTCAAGGACAACCCTTTGGACGTAAATGGCACCTGCAGCATCGATAAGGTGAATATCGACTATTGCACCGCCGAGGGCCAGTTCCAACACGAAGTCCAGTGCAATGAAAGCGTCCTAGGTGCGATTTCCTATGCTGAGTTTGCGGGGTAAGCTCACTCAGCATGTACAAGTGCACTGTGGCTTCGTCAGAGCAGCAAGCTCATGTTGATTTCATCCAATGCTCCATTTGTAGAATCATGTTGGGGATGCTTACGTTTGCATTCGTTGCTGACATCATTGGGCGCGCCAAGGCAGGTGTCGTGGTTTCTTACGTCATGTGCATTGGCTTAACTATGATGACTTTCTACGACGACACCAACCACATCCAAATCTTTCTGCTCTGGGCCATGTTCTTCGGTCTCTTCGGTCTTGGAGTTGGAGGAGAGTATCCATTGGCTGCTAGCAACGCTGCATCAGAACATTCCGAAGAGCTGGAAGATGCACTCTTGGATGATGAGGATCGTCATCATCGCCGCGTACTCCATGATCATGCCCGCACAGCCAGACGCGGTGAGACCATTTCCATCGTCTTCTCCATGCAAGGAATTGGCGCCGTGGCCGGATCCGTCTTTTTGATCATCCTCCTATACTTTGCCGATCAAACTTACATCGATTGTTTCCAACCTGGAGTAAACTCTATGGGGACCGATCCTCGCGCTTTGAATGCTGTCTGGCGCTCCTTTTACTTCATCGGAGGGATATTTGTTGTCATGGTGCTCCTCTATCGTACCCTGGTGCTCGAGGAGGGTGTTGGACACGAAAGGATGCAATCACGCAAGCAGCGCCGCCTCGATGAAATGCAAGACAAGAGGCAGAAGGTCGGAACGTTGAAGATCCTTTGGTTCTATGCTCCACGCTTGTTGGGAACTGGTGGCGCTTGGATAGTACGTGTTGTCGGTGATTACGGGCTGATTGTTGGTTTAGTCTTTACTACTGGATTCTCACCCATGCTTGCACTGTACCGTACCGGTAGGTCTATGATGTAGCTTTTTATGGGCTCAAACTCTTCTCAGGGCCCATTTTTGATCAAATCTCCCCCAACGGTGATCTGATTGTCGTCAACGGGTAAGTTCTTGAGACGTGGCTCATTAAGGGAATCACATGAGTTCCAGAAACTTCTGACACTTGAAAAACTCCGTGTCCTGTGCAGATGGCTCCTTGTCAACAACCTGGTTGCTTTGGTTGGATACTATGCTGCGGCAGCTGGTAAGTGTGTAGAAAGATTGTATTCACTCATGCACCTGCTTTTTGCGATTGGGTCCGGCTCTAACTTTTTTCGGGGTTCCGTCATGAATTTCGCTTCATCGCTTCGTCGCTCCTGAAGTTATTGACATTCCTTGGATTGGGCGCAAGCGCCTGCAAATGTTCTCCTTTACACTGTGTGCTATTCTGTTTGGCATCACTGCCCACCTCTTTGAATCGGCCAGTGGAGAAACGCTATTGGCACTGTTTATCATGTCCAGTTTCTTTGGTCAGTTTGGGGGCAACGCGATCCACATCATGGCCGCCGAAACTTTTCCTACAGAGCTTCGAGGCACATGTCATGGATTGTCCGCCTTTATGGGGAAGTGTGGTGCATTGGCCGGAACCCTTGCCTTTTCTCACGTACCAACGGTGCAGATCTTTTGGATCTACAGTACCGTCAGCATCGCCGGGATCTTTTTTACGCTTTTGTTCTGCGTGGATCTGACCCACATCTCGTTGGCGGAGCACGATGCACAGCTGGAACTCTTTCTGGAAGGCCGCCTGGGAGCCTACAGGGGGAAACTCAACGACGAGAAACATTTGTCTCTTTTTGAGCGTTGGCTCGGTCTCCATGGCACTTACGAACCAGGCTGGGCCAAGGAATTGGTGGACGATGAGATGCTCAGGAGGCAAGAAAGTGCAATCGCTACAGCCTAGGAGGCGGCGTCCGCCCGTAACCGTAGAAACAACTGGCTATTACATGTCGGCATTCTTTGCCGAAGAATGTTCATGTTTAGGTAGTCCAACGCTTGCAATGTATGGGGCCGGTTCGAGCTCGGGCTTTGAACTTCCCATTCTCAGGCCCTTATGACAGTGATTCGTGCAAACAATATCTTTGGCTGGGGCCAGTGGAGAAAGGATCTTGGCACTATTAAATCATGTCCATTTTCTTTGGTCAGTTTGGTTGCAACTCAATACACATAATAGCATCCGAGTGGATGATCCAGAGTGACTTCTTGCTAAAACTTAAATGGAAGGGTCGAGCGCTGCTGGTCCCATATGCTCGTTCCGCAGAAGGCACACCTAGACTACTACCTTCATGTTGCGCACCACTTTCTGACCCTTTGATGTTGAAACAAATGGCAGATAGTTTGGGATGCAAAGGAGGGGGTGGGGGTGATGATCAATATTTCCCACCAAGACCGAACCGTGTGACCGCCATTGGCATCGCATTCGTGGGTTCTGTACACGAATCCAACAGCTAATCCAACCGAGATAGGGTCCGTCGAATGATGGCCCTTGCCATGAGCATGGTGTGGGTCGCCGAGAGGACTGGCAACCTAACAAAAAAAAAAAAGCCAAAGCTAAAGCAACAAAAGAACAACACCAGGGATTCCAACGTGGTCCCCCACCGTAGTACTAACCTGGCCCGACGATGCTTAACTTCGCTGAGCAGACGGGAAGCGGTGCTGTCATCGTGGTATGGTCGTTCCTGACATGGAGCTAAGTTTCTAGCAATACAAAATAAGTCTGATGCAAAAGTCAAAGAGCCTTTCCGCAGCATTTTGGTGGCCTTTCTCTTCTTCTTATGAGCTGTGTCCTGGTGCTTGCTCAGCTGCTTGGATGTTGCACAGGGCTTTGCACAATCAGGGCGCACACATGCATGCATTGCAGAAATCCAAACAGGCATCAATTTGGGCTTGCTCTTCTTAATAATATTAGGAGGCGACTTCCATACAACCGTAGAACGAACTGAATTTGTAGAAGGAATCAATTACCGCCGTCCTCGGCATTCTTTGCTGATCTTTTGTACCGGTACCGGTAGGTCATCTAGCTAGCTAATGCTTGCAATGTTGTAAACTCGGATCCTCGTGCAAGGTTTGATCGTTGGTGACGAATGCAAGCTATCCTGATCCTCGCTGAAGCTTTGATTGTTGGTGACATGCATGCATGCGATGCTTCCTGAACCCAGGTGACACTGATTCGTGCAAACAATATCTTTGGTCGAGGTTGTCCATCGAGCTTTCTTCCTTGTTCCAAAGGGTATCCTACAACACTTCTTCAGCACGAATGGATTTGGCGGTATCACACGCGCCAAATGGGTGAACCTTTGATAATGAGGGCACATGGAACAGCTATGGAACCGTTAATCTGCAGCCAAGGCACATGCCGTGAATGCGGGCGCATGTTATTGGAGTTATCCCAGAACGATCACGTGAGAGACGACGTTGGTGATGGGGTTTCATTTTTATTCTTTTCCCAAAAGAGCAAGGAAGAAGAACGATTTTTGCTGTAAAGACACCAGAAGATAGCGACCATGATGAAGGCTGTTCTAGTGTTGTTGTTGGCGTCTACTTGCGTGAATTGGAGTGCGGCTCAGGCTGAGGATTATTGGAGTAAAGATCAGATTGATCCGACGCACCGTCAGACTCAACCTCAGGTTCAACCACAAGTTCAGGACGACACGACGCTTGCCCATGGATCTGTGTGGGAAGCGACGGAAGATGATTCCACTTGGGTGAATTATCCGTCTGCGGTGCGAGATCGTCTGGATGAGCAATACGATCGTCTGTCTGCCAATCTCCCGTCGATTAAGATCTACCAATTGTACCCCGAGCCCGTGAATACGACCTTGCGCGTCTGGCCCGAGTTGAAAGGCGTCCTAAAGCGCATGGAAGGTGTGTGGCCGCAACTCCAAGTAGCCTACTACCTCGAGACGGGCATGGACTACGGGTGTCGACAACTCGAACAGGGAATTGAAAAGCCGGTCTTGACGCATCATTGCCAACGCCATTGTACCCATGCCGGTCGCTATTGTGCCGACAACACGGATCAGTACCATGGCAGCTATGTGGTGCAAGAAGTCACACGACGCCTCTGTTTGGCGGAGCATCTAAAGAAATCCAAGCGGACTGGAGGCAACAAGTTTGTCCGCTATTTGGAGGAATTCGAAGCCAACCAGTGTGGTGATGTTGCCAGTGGCGAGTTAGTGGCTCAATGCAGCAAGAACATCATGACCACAGTACTGAGAATTCCAGTCGAGGAGGATGAAGAGTTGTTGGATTGCATGGAACCCGATTGGACGTTAGACCAATTTCATGATCCCCTCGAGCGAAATCTATATCACTTTGAGCAACTCTGGCACAAACAAGAACAATCAACGGAAACCATGATGCTCATGCCCCGTGTCGAAATCAATGATGTTTCCATCAAATCCAACCATGTCGTGGAACGAGAATGGACCACCAAAGACTTTCTCACTAGCTACTGCAATGCCTTTCCTGCGTGTCTCAATACCCACGAAATTGGAACGCCACTGGCATGTCCCATTTGCGGAAATTGTCAAGACGTACAAACCTGCATGTGGACGCTCCAATGCGATGGAACACCTGCCTTGGACGACCAAAAAGTCATGGATATCAACACGGGTGATTTCGATAAGCAATTGTGTGACCCCAACCACGTTGTCATTCCCACCGCACCGACGGATGCTGCCTTGACTGAGCAGACGACACCAGCAGCCAACAATACTGACTCCTCGATGACCACAACCACGCCTACAGCTACTGAGAACACTCCAGTGGTAGAATCGAGCACCAGCGCTCCATCGGAGGTAACTGCTACAACAACTGTACTTACCGTTGATCTCACTGCTGTACCCACCGAGAGCAATCCAGTCGTCGACTCGACCAGCGCTCCCAAAGACGGAGAGGAACCTCCAGCAATTACCGAACCCAACAGCAGCACCTCGAGCACCAGCGCTCCAGCGGAGGAAACCGCCCCTATGGAAGAGAGCAATCAAGTCGTCGAGTCGACCAGCGCTCCCAAAGACGAACCTCCAGCAATGATTGTTGCCGAACCCAACAACAGTAGCGCGTCCTCCGACACGAGCACAGAAAAGCGCAATTTGAAGGCCGGAATCATTTTGGTCGTCGTATCGGTGGTGGCACTCGCCGTCGCATTTGTCTATCGTCGTCAGCAAAAGAACAGCAGCCGCAACGAACGGCTCCGAGAATGGATTCAAAACATTCAGACGGAGTATTCCGATCAACCCGATGATGATGGCGATGTCGAAGAGGTGTGGGGCAAGAGTGCGCGTACTTCTCGTCGAAACGACAGTAACATTGCTCCCCGGCCTCACGAAGATCCACTTCAAGAAGAACTCGAACAAGTCACCTTCGAAAACTTTTTGGGCGAGGACGAAACACCAGCCGTTGGTCCTCCTCCGGCCGCCTTTTCGGGTCGCATTGATATCGATGACGATGGACACATGTGGATCTAGATAGATCCTGTAGATGATGATGTGGGGCCAACCGGTCAAGATCAGTTTTGTTTGTTACATAGTAGTTTTACACACCGCATTTGCATAAAATAAAATTAGTTTAGTGACTGTTAGCCACGTGAGCTTGAAGATGAGCTTCAGCTGCGTCGTGGGATATCATACCGATAGTCCGGGTCAGCGCGGTACGACAAAACATCATCATCGAACATGCAGCCCACGCCGTCCCACTCAACCTCCATCGTGTCCTTCGAACCAGGTCTGGGTGGGCTCTAGCTAGCTAGCACTGGCACCGTCCACGTTCTGTTCCTCGTGGTTGCACTCTTCTTGTCACAAGGGGAGTGCCGTACGGATTGCCATACCGCTTGAACCCTGCGGCAGGATTTGGCGTCACGGTCATTGCTCCGTATTCCGTACGGTATGATCATTGAGGAATTTGGGAGGTGTGAGCTACAACCGGGACAATCTTGAGGGATCCAAGGATCCAGGGCTTGCCATACAATGGATGTTACTATGATTATGAACTACTAGCTACTAGTACAACTACAACTACTAGAAAGAATGAAGCCATGATTTTTGTTTGTAAAGATTTGTCTACTATGTGTTATTGTTCTACGTTTATGTTCGGTTGTATAAGATTGTAGCATCAACAATGATAGAGGTTGGTTGTCGGGTGTCACGGGTATTAACTTTGGACTTTCGTCGCGTGGAGGACGTTCGGACAAGCACTCTGCAATAGAGGCTGCCTAGCACAGGAACCACAAACCTGGCTACCTTCGATGTGACCCTTCAATTGAACCAACTGTATTCATCTCCGCAAAAATATTGTATAGCCCTGCACCCCACCAGATGCTTGCTCATTGTGTATTGTATTGTGTTAGTAGTCCCCGCAATCCGCCGTCGTCGCCCCTTACTTACCTGTTATCCTAGACTGGAATGTACCGGTCAGGCTTTCTGACTTGCCGTCCAGAAAGAGTTGTCGTCGTCTGAACTGTTGTTTGCTGCTGTGTGTCCGTCACAGGTCTTGTCGTCGTCTTCTTCTTCTTGCCCTTCGCCTTTGTCGACTTTTTCTTGGTGGCCGCCGCCCGTCTACATTTAATTCTAGGTTGTTGTTCAACTGCCACCCGCCGTGGCCTCGTCTTCATTTGCTCTGCGATTCTCTGAGATGCAATCGCCGCCATGCGTCTCTTCGATCGTCGCAAAGTTGATTGTGCTGTGTCCACATTTTCCTCCTCGTCAACTCGGTTGTCGACCAGTGGTTCATCCGCATCAACTTGTTGTTGTTCCTCGACCTCGACCAGTGGTTCTTCAGCTACCACTTCGTCGCCAGTCACGAATTCGAAATCCGTATCGTCCGAGGCATCGCCTGCCTCCAATCGTAGTGTCTTGTGCCGCCGCACGATTTCCTTGACAAGGTCTCCACCATCCTTCATCAAGGCTGCGAGAATGTCGTTGGGTACCACTCCAAGTAGCACACCATTCATCATTCGCAACTCCAATACAAATGGTTGTTGTCCATGCATACTGATCTTGAAGTGTGACACATGCCACTTTTGAACGTATGGGACCACTGCTGTGCATGTGGGAACCACCGCTGCTTCGCATGGGATTGTGGCATCGGATGCCATCTTGTTGTCGTCGACGGTCGAGACTGTTTCTATTGTCTCGACGTCTTTAGTTGTTGTTGGTTGTTGTTCTAATTCTACGGGTGCTGCATCTTCCATGCAGACATCCTTGACCTTGCGATAGACAAATCGTCGGTTGGCAATCTGTTGTCGCGTATTCAAGGTGCAAATTTCGTCGTTGGCATTGCGCTGAATGCCGCCGAGATGCAAGTGGCACATGGCGAGTTCGAACATGTAAGTGTTCTTTTCGTTGACCATGAACCAGTGCGAGACTAGCTTGTCGTTTCCTTTCTTCGCCTGGATGAAACGAACAAGTCCCTCGAGGTCTTGATGCACGGCATCAATTTGAATGTACAGTTTGGCGCGTTGTAGGTACGCCTTGTCGCTTTGGAACCATTTGTTGTTGGTGATCCATTTGGCCACTTGTTGGTATCCGTACTCTTGAATCAACTGCACGAGATCCAAGACGCGTTCGTGGGGTGTTTGTGTGCCGACGGAAATGAATTGTTGTTGGGCTTCATGCCAGAATTCGTATCGGGCCTGTGGCACATGTTTGTTCATGTCTCGATAGAACACGACGGTTCTCAGCTTGTTCGCTCTCGTCAGAAGAGTACCCCATACAGTGTTGACGGGAGCAAAGGATAAACGGTTTCCATTGCTCCGTTCGTGTCTTGACCGTAATGGGTCTTCCAGCGAGCGTTGGCTGATTGACTGGGTTGGATGCGACAACCTTTGGGCCGGTGCTGGTTGTTGTCGTATCCGTAGTGACCATGCTGATCCGCAGGAACCAGGGAAAGGTCGTAGGCACCTAGGTAGCGACCGTGCTGCTGGAACTCCACATCAGGATTCGCTTCATGCAACAGTGCCGCGGTTTGGACGACATCTTTGTCCAACTCATCCAGTTGGAACGTTGGGACTTCCTCTGCTGCAGGAACGTCCTTGTCGTTGTTGTTGTTGCCCGTCGTCTCCTTGGCGACCTGGAGAACGGGGGTCTTCATGGTGTTGCTGTTGTTGTTGTCGGTGGTCATGGACCACGAGAGCAGCTTGATGATAGAAGAAGAGAACTTCATTTTGCAATTGATAGGTATTGAATAGAAGATGGATAGAAAGGGTAATTGAGGGTAGGGGGGTTGATCTGGCCTAGGCTTATCAACAATCGCGAAAGTCTTCCTTGTTCGGTTGGGTATGCAACTCTAGCAATCCGGTTGAACAAAAAAGTGAGCTCATCATGGTGGTGTCCTATTTTTTCCACCTCCAATTTCGGTTGATGGATTCCTCCAGATTGAAAATTTTGAAAAACGACGCGTGATGAGGCGAGACTGAGCAGTGACGAGAAGAGATGGATCCACTGATGAGCACTGATTTCATGCTCTATAGCACCAAACCACACCCAACAAGACACTTCCTGGGCCTCTCAGAGTCGAATCGATGCTTGGTTGTTGTTGTTGAGGAGCTGCGGAGCTGCGGCGGTCCTGCGGTGCTGCGGATGACCATTGTCCGGATGCTGACGGAACCAGATGGAATTAAGGAGTGCAGTTGACACGACTGAAAAGATTTAAGGATTTCACGACTAGTTGACACCACCTTCCGAGGACGCCGGGGGAGCAGATGACCGAGTTCCACGATGGCTTGACGCCATCCAAAAGACGGTGGTACCGTGGGTGCTTGAGGCAGTTCCGACATGTCTTCCAGCCCAAGGGCTGCTCCATGGTTGGCCATGGTGGAGGGATTGCTTGGTCAGCTTTAGAAGCAATTGTTGGTTTGGTTTGCTGGAATTTGGGCAGAGTTTCCTTTACACAGTAGAAGGATTGAAAATAATGCTGATCTGAAGCTAGCTACCGGTACCAGTACCCACAGCCAGGATTCCGACGTTTTCTGCCTCTTTGCCTTGAGTATACGCGAACGATTCGTACGGAACACGCTTGAGTATACGCTACTGGAACGGTTCGATCGGAACGATTGGAGTTGGCCTGTTGTGGAACACTTGTAAAATCGAATGATGATGCTTCAATCCTTCTCAGTATGTGAGGTGACGAGCAGGATGCTGATGAAATCCGTAAGGTTTCGATTGAATCATTCGTACGGTGCCTGGTACCTCAGTTTCCGTGCTGTCATCAAAAAACCTAACAGATTCTTTCAGGTCTCTGTTAGGTTCTTTCGATTCGTACGGTACCTTAGGAGGTCCCCTACTAGCTATCGTAGCACGGCATGGGTATCTTGGGGGACTACAAAGGGCTCAATTATAAGTACGTTGCTGGTATGAAAGGGCTCGTCAAACCCTTTCTCTGAAGCTAGCGAGGGCTCTTGGCTTGCTTTCCGTGCTGTCGGTGGAGTCGGGGAAGCGAAAGCACGAGACTCTCTGAAGAGAATCGAATCGGATCGACGCACGTACCGGTAGTTTGAAAGGGAGCCTGTGTTCCAATCGAGCTGTGTAGCTACTGGGGTCAGCTTTTCCAAGGGAGACACAGCTGGGAAAGTGTCTGGTCCGTGGTTGTATTTTAAATATTTTCCATGGGCAGGAAGCGGATGAACACGATTCTCACTCCTCGTCGCCAACCTGAAGCATTTGGTGGGTCCAAGCACATGGAAAATCATCCGAGAAACGTCACGCCGTGGTTGGCGAGGGTCAACGTACGACTGTAAGTTGCAAGCCAACATCCCGGTCGAAGGGTAACCAAAACAAAAAACCGTGAAAAGCGAGAGCCGATTGGGAGCATGTAGTAGCAAAAGACATTCCGGCACTAAGTCTCTCCTGTATGAGAGAGTCGGCATTCGCCGCTAACGGGAACTTGCGCAAGACAGCGAACGCAATCGAGCGCTTGAGCCCAATGGCTATTCAAAGAGGAAAGAGCTCGCGCCTGAAAACGTTAAGCCGATACGGAGAACGTACCGTACCAGCAAAAGCCATTCAAGCGCCAAAGTCTTTCCTGTATGAGAGTCGCCATTCGCCCCATGCAAATGAAATCTGCTCAATCCACGGAAATGGAACCGACGACAACGGCGCTGGCGCTGACCCCCGAATCTGGTGACAACCAATGGTAATGCATAGATAACTTCCCCCTCTAGTCTAATAGACTCCCGATAAATACACGGTTGTTTTTGCTTCCAATGGGCTAGCTATGGACGAAACCTGATCGCATGCTGCCTCAACTCTTCTGGTTGACGTACAGCAGCCTTCTGTTGATTTGTGTTATGACACAGGTCTAAAGGTGCGAAGTGTTGCCCCGAGAATATCAGGTTCCTTGGAAACTGTTGCAAACTTCGCGACCCCGGGAATGATCGGCAAGAGACGTTTCTAGCAATGCGGCAACGTCCCTCCACGTCCTACAGGTACCGGTATTGATGTATGTCTCTTTTGTACATTCATTTTTTCTTTGCGTTAGATCTTTTCCTTCCAGGGTAGCACGGGCAGGTCGGTGCCTTTATCGTACAGTGTCATCAGAGGAACAGAACCCCATCCATAGGACGTGGCAATGATAGAATCCTTGGTGGAGTACCCCGCGGGAGCTGTCAAAGTAACACTGTCGTTGCCCGTGATGGAGATTGCAGCGTTCACCCATCCCTGGCCATTCAACAGCACTGCTGCTCCGGCACAAGTTCCGGCAGGTTTGCCTTGGCATGTAAACCCCTTTACCTGTGCATTGTATGATGTTTCTAGCATGTACAGCCCGTCACTGGAAACATCTTGAAAATGAACCACCACCGACAAGCGTCCATCATTGGAATTCTCTTTGCGACTTTCTACTAGCAGATCGAGTTCCGAAATTGTCGTTACTTTGCAATAGGACGGCGACTTCCAGTGGATTGGCTGACCATACTGAATGGCCAATGCGGAATTGCCCAGTCGACGGCCACAATACTGCTTTTTGGGTGGATGAATATTACATCCAAATCCCATGTCGGCATTGGTACTGTATCCCACATTTTTCAGCCTCATGGCGGCCATTTGAGCTTGTCTCAATTCCGCCACCGATTGAGGTTGTGCAGGAGGACACCACGTGGACAGTTGCACAAACCCAAAGTAGGCATTCGGTACCTGGAACCCATCCCGCCACGCTTGAATCAGTTGGGGAAATAAATGACTGTATTCGTCGGCAGCTTTACTACTACCACCCGCATTGGCTTCTCCTTGATACCATGTAAAACCAGTAATGGCCATGGGGCCTACCATGTACGGGTGAATCATGGAATTGTACAGGTCGCCTCCATTATTATTCTGCGGTTGCCACCGTTGAATTTTGGTACCACCCCAATTGTTGCTAATGAGTCCAATGGGGATCTTGTTTCCGAGACCGTCGGCCACTTGCCTTCCAAAAAAGAAGCAAACGGCGGAAAAGTGACTGTAGCCTCCACCGTTGACGTAAAACACATTGGTGTAGAGACTGTGATTGTTGGCGACACTCCACGGCTGTTCTACGGTTTGCAAATCTGGTAGAGGCGTTTTGGATGCCGTTTTTTGTCCCACTGTAAAGACACGGATATGAGGGTAACGGTTACCTTTGTTGGCTTCCGTCGTGCCATTGGTGGCGCCAGGTATGGAGAACACCATGTTGCTTTGTCCTCCACAAATATAAACGTCTCCAAAAAGCACATTTTCCAGAGTTTGTGATTGGCCTGTGCTGCTCTTGATCTTGATGGACGTGGCCTCGAGAGAAGCAGCCTGAGGTGGCAAGGCTTGACGCCAGAGCCCATCGTCTCCCGTGGCTGTAGTGGACAGTACTACCGGTACTATAGGAGGCGCTGCTGATTCTTCAGTATTCAACAACAAAGTTGTAGTGATAATGGCTCCTTTGGTAGAGTATCCCCACAAGGTCACTTCTCGGTCTCGTTGCAAGACCATGTTGGATCCCAAGGTGGCACTGACAAAATTGCGAGTGACATCTTCGGCAGATTCGGTATTACCGCTGCTAATGGGTGGCACAGGTTCATTGTCAGTTTGCCAAATTCGTTCGCCTGGAATCGAATGGATACTACCATTAGCAGAAGTGTTTGTTCGGCTTTCTTCTGCTGCCAACGCTGACAAAATACATCCTACATGCACGGAGAGAAGACATAGACACACAACTCGCATGGTGATGGATGTTTGGTGGGAGGGACGCTGTTTTATGCTTGGGACAGACTTGAGGAGTCACCCAAAGCGTATCTTTCAAAAGCTCGCAGAGTTGGCATACGTGCTGGGACTGGTAAGCACCTAACTATCTACCATTATCCATGTTTCAGGAGTTGAACTGAATTCCTTTGAGACTTTGTTCCCGCCGAGCCACCGGCAGCTTAGCTAGTTAGCTACAATCATACAAAGCACTGCACCGGTACCGGTGTAGCTTGGCCAGCCAATACAGTCCGTGGCTGCGAGTTTCTGCCATCATTCTCTCCGTACGGTAAAGGACTCTTCATATCGATTCATCAGCTCGCCTCAAGATCAAGCAAACTCATGTTTTGCTGCGACCCGACTTGTGCCGCAGGACGAAACATAACAGATGATGATCCAACCTTTTGGGCCATTAAATTTTCTACAAAAAGAAATGATTGCACCACCTGGTTGCGATCCAACATTGCGGCCTTGATGCACTTCCAATAGCTCTGGCGATGCGGACTCATAGACTGTCACTTCACTCATGTCCGAAGAACAAGCGGAGCTCTAATAATCCAATACGGTACGGGGTCGTTAATTGAAGTTGAGTGGTGTCGTTAAATCTCGATATCGTGATGTTACTGGTACCGTTTCCCCCAAGGGTGCTCTTATTGTTGACTTGACTTCCTTGCATGGATCTTTTTTCTTTGTTGTTAGTTGGGTGCATTGGGAAAACAAACATCGAAGTGACAGTCTAGTAGACTACCAGTACCGGTACTACCAACAGTCACAACTTTCTCAAACAAGAGAAGGAGCCAGTTTGCAACCGATCGCGAAGAGACCATGATTCTCCATCGTCTTTCCTCCCTGTTTGGCATCTTGGCTGTGGTAAGGACTGTCTCTGGGCAGTGTGAACCCTGCTTGTCCTGCACAAACAATAATCAATGCCGTGCTGACAGTGACTGCACTTGGTCTCATGGTGACTGCGTCGAAGAAGGCAGCCTGTGTCAACCCTGCTCCTCTTGCACAAACAATGATCAATGCATGGCCAACAGTGACTGCATTTGGTCTCAAGGAAACTGCGTCGAAGCTCCCACTCCAGCTCCTGCACCTCCCATTGATGGAATTTGTACGTGTGCCAAGAGCGATTGTGACGATGTCTGCGACTCCAAGTCGAACAATGCAGGAGATTCTTGTGTCTCGGACAACGATTGCCCTCCCAATGGCAACCAAGGAGGTGCTTGTATGCCCGTACAAACTTGCGGCGTGGTGCCCTGCCCCCTTCGTCCTACCACCGAGCTCCCGAGTCCTACATACAAGGCTGGGTTCTATGACAACAATGTCTTGGTATACGACAAATACAGACGTGCTGTTTCTCTCAGTGATGGACTGAATGGGCGTGCCATTGCCTACAGCGGAGAACCCGTTCAGCTCTATGATCCTGACACGGGAGAATGCGCTGGATTCTCGTCCAGCAACTTTCACGGAAAACCCGATGCTGCCGAGGTTTTCCCAGCTCCAGGAGGAGGATGGTATTATGCGTCCAATGCCGAAACCACTCCTGGTGGAGTCTTCACGTTGGAATTTGATTCCACGGGGAGGGTCATTGACTACTTTCCTCTCATTACCTCCACGTCTCGTAACTGTGGAGGAGGCGATACTCCATGGGGATCGTGGGTGACCTGGTAAGTCCAGGAAAACGTCCGTCACAGCGGCATCCTGATTGCAAACTGGCTTGCGGCTAACATATCGCATTTTCCTGCGTCTCGATCCATCCAAGTGAGGAGCTTGGCAGTAATGGACACGTGTACCAAACCGATCCATCTGGCAATATGTCCCCCCGATTGACAAGTGTGGTGGATACCGGAGGCAACTATGAAAGCTTTGCATACTACATTGACTCCAACGGGAACCCCACATTTTACACCACCAACGATTCTAATGCTGGCCCGTTGGTCCGGTTCACTCCCGATGCTGCCGGCATGGCGTGCTTTAATGCTGCCACCAATGCTGAGAAATGGTGTACATTGGAGAGTGGAAGCCATGATTTCCTCGAGCTCATTCCCACAACCGGTTCTCAAGGTACATTTGCTTGGGGCGAAAAGGCCAATGCCAATCCCAATCGATATCCCTTCGCAGAGGGCATTGATGTTGTGGGAGACATGCTCTACTTTATCTCCAAAACAACCAAATTCTTGTTCATTCTCGACTTGATCAATATGACGTACGAACGTTCGTCCACGCAATCTGGAGCCTTCAATAATCAACCAGACCAAATCCAACGAATCGTCAACGATCCCAATCAAATCGTCTACTTTTGCGAAGACGGGGGCCCCGATTGCGGCGTCCATGGCCGTGACGCCACCGCTCAGTTCTTTTCCATCTTGGATGGACCTGGCTACAACACCGAGACGACTGGTTTGGCCTTTTCCTCGGATCACAATTACATGTTCTTGTCGTTCCAGGGTCCGGGTGTCATTTGGCAATTCTGGCGTGAGGATGGACGTGCCTTTACAGACACAATTCTCGACATCAAGTACCACGCTGCCTAAACGGCAAAGATGGAGGACTTGCAATCACAAGTTGCTTCTGTCTTCGCGATGATGCACTATACATATACTTTCATAAAAAATCAATACATGCATGGTTGAGGCAAAAGGGAGAGGAATCAAGAAGAAAAACGAGGCGCCCACTCGAACAGGTATTCGGGGCATCGGCAGTGGGGTGTTTCCACGTTGTTGGTCGTACCAACGGAAAGCGATACAGTAGCGGGTGGCGTATTGGATTGGCTCATGGCATTGGAATAGAAACAAAGAGATGCCCTAGCTAACGGGAGCAAGTATTCCTGTTTTCAATTTCTTATTGAAGCAATAAATTTAAAATAGTGTTGCTTCCGGCACAATGTTGTTGGTCGCTATTCATGCATGTAGACTCCTCTTCCCTGTCACACGCCTTCATCTATCTTGTTTACACCCGAGTTGACGCTCTGAGACCCAGTCCGACGCTCCCTCTGGTGTATTTGGATTTCGCCAAAGCACTCATGGAGGCAATTCCGTCGACAGGACTGACACACTTGCATTCTGGACAGACACACATGGAAGCATCGGAAATACAGATCAATTCGATATCACAGGCTTGACAGAAAATCTCCTCCACAAATCCAGTCTTGATGGCCGCCATGGTTTCATCGGTACCTCGTAACGGTAAGAAAAATCCAGGTTCAATTTCCAATTCTTGCGCTCTCTTTTCGGCCGACTTTTCATCGTCATGCCAGGATTTCATACGCCGAAAGGGAGGCTTGGACTTTTGTGTGGGCGAAGTTCCCGACAGGGTCGAATGCTTCTTGTTGTTGTTACCCGTGCGGCTGTGCTTCTTTGGTTTCTGCTGCTGCTGGTTGTACTGCGATTCCTGCTGTTTGAGCTCTGCAAGAGACGGAGCACTGGATCCTTCCGAGTTGATGGAGTCAAAAGTGGCCGTACGACGATGATGAGGGGCAGCGCCAGTACTGTCACTGTCACAGCTGATACTTCCCAGACTGCCACGGCTGTGCTCTGAATCACGGCTGGCATGTCTTGAGACCTTACGACGAGGAGCCGTCGAGACTATTCCTCCCAGCGGATCAAAGTCTTCATCGTCAATGGGCCAAGGAGCGCTGGCCACTGGCTTTCGTTTGACCGAGAGTTTTCGAAATTCTTGATTCAATCCGGTCTCTGATTGTTGAGACGACATGGACGATTGAGACGAATTAGAGGACATGCGCCCCAGCGAGAGTGCCGACCTGTCCTTCTTGTTGTAACGGCGACGCTGAAATGGCTTGCTATGAACATCCAGAGGATTCTCTTCGTCGTCCGTCATCATGGATTCCTCCGATGAGGACACCACCTCTTCTTCTTTCCTCTGCTCGCTATCTTTGTTGTTGCCACTGGCAGCAGCAGCAGCTTCAGCATCGGTCATGTCATCTTTGGACGACAGGTTAATTTCAAAGGTACCATTATCACCAAACGAAATAATCGTCTCGGGGACTGCTTCTTCCACAGCCGAAATGGAGGGATACAGAGACACCTCCTTCTGCTTCTTTCTTCGACTGCGCTTGGGTCGAGGCAGCTTGCGAGACCCTCGTTCCAAATGATTTGTCAAGGGCTTGTGACTCCCAGGGGCTGGTCCAAAGGGATGATAAGGGCTGCCGCCACCAGTTCCAGAGCTGCTGCCATACAGAGACATGGCCATCATTGTCTGTTCCAATACACTGCTATTACTTCTCTGTCCACCGTTGGTCAAGATTATGGACAGCAGAGCACTTGTCTTGCTGCTGCTCCTGTTGCCCAATTTTGCTTACGTTTCCAGTGTAACCTCGGCAGGCCAACTGCCCATCTTGCCCACACCCGTTTTTGGGTATTTCTCGTTTCCTGTTGCCTGGACCAGTGAGGAACAGCGAAACTCCCGGTTGTTTCGTGAAATTCACGGTTCTGGATGTTTCGCGAGGAAAAGTGCCGATTAAACGCGAGTCTTGTGCAAGTTTAAGCCAACCAGTCCCAGTTTTTGCAATAAGAGCAAGTGTTCGTTTCTGTTCCACAATGACTATACTATAGAGTTATCAGTAAAAACAATTTTCCAGCTGGATCAAAGAAAATGTCTGCCTTAGACCATCTGTTTGAAACCAGTGTTCAAGAACACTGGCTTTTTGAAGTGAAACTGAGTGCCAGTGATCCTGGTTTTTAATTAAGAAGCCGGTGCTCCTTCCAAACCAGCAAGCGTCTTGGGTCTTGGATTCTATAACAAAGCAAAAAGACAAATTTGCAGAGTTTTCTGGAAAATATTAACTTTTCCTCGAATAGGCGTGTAAAGCTTCTTTACCGCAACGCAGCCACGGTGGCCGAGATAGGTACTGGTATGTACTACCAGTAGCTAGTAGCAGAGCACCCTAGCTAGCGGGAGTGTGCTATAAGATTCTGAGGTTGGCAAGTTGGGTAACCCAATGCTCTACTAGGGTCCACAGCCACCAGAGTGCCAGCACGCATGTAAGAAGGGTACAATCTCTTTCCTCCATATTCTCAGCCAGACATTCTTCAGTGCTCCATAACTACAGTGGGGTCAGATTCATCATTCTACACTATCTTGATCCTCCACTCATCTGGACATCCATTATCACTTGCCCAATTCAGACACTCCCAATTGCGTGAATTGAAAGCAGAAGTGAGGGTGTATCCGTCCCATGGACAGCCATTCTCGTGTGCCCACTTCAGAACTTCAAGGTTACCACCTCCTGCAGCAGATTTACATGTTGACTCATTCCATGGACAGCCATTCTCATGTGCCCACTTGAGAATCTCTAAATGGCCTCTTGCCGCAGCTTTGGAACAAGTTCTTTCATCCCAAGGGCGTCCATTCTCATGGGCCCATTGCAAAATGTTCAAATGGCCATGCTCGGCAGCATTGGCACATGTCATTCCATCCCATGGACAGCCATTCTCATGTGCCCATTTGAGAATTTCAAAATGGCCTCCTTCTGCAGCACCAGAGCACAAACCTTCATCCCAGGGGCATCCATTCTCATGGGCCCATTTTAACACTTCTAAATGGCCACTCATTGCGGCATTGTAGCATGTGAATCTGCACCATGGGCAGCCATTCTCATGTGTGAAGAACTTGTAACTGTCCAGTTTCAGCAGCATACATGCATGTATATTCATCCCAAGGGCATCCATTCTCATGGGCCCATTGCAAAATGTTCAAATGGCCTTGCGATGCAGAATAGGCACAAGTCATTCCATCCCATGGACAGCCATTCTGGTGTGCCCACTTCAGAATTTCCCAGTGCCCACATCGAGCAGCAGCAATGCATGTATTTTCATCCCAAGGGCATTCATTTTCATGCAATAATTTGAGAATTTCAAAGTGACCATTAATGACAGCAACAGTGCATGTATTCTCATCCCAGGGGGCTTCATTCTCATGTGTCCATTTGAGAATTTCCCAGTGACCACTTGCAGCAGCATAACGGCCTGTATCTGCATCCCAAGGGCATCCATTTTCATGTGCCCATTTGAGAATTTCCAAATGACCTCTCATAGCAGCCCAAGCACATGTATTCTCATCCCAAGGGCACCCATTCTCTCGTGCCCACTTGAGAATATCAAAGTGACCATTAAATGCAGCACCCAGGCAGGTATCTTCATCCCATTCACATCCATTCGTGCGCAACCATTTTAGGGTTTCCAATTGACCACCTTCAGCAGCATGAAAGCATGCATTTTTATCCCACGGGAATCCTTGCTCATGAGCCCATTGAAGAACTGTAATAGACCCAACACTGGCAATGGCATTGCAAACATCATCATGATCTGGTGCTTTCCTCTCTGAGCTGTCAGCACGCCAGAATTCTGCAGAGGAGACATTGTAGAATGCCGCACCGTAAATTGTGTCTGTGCTGGTTGCTGGGCGAGAGGGATCCTGCACCTCTTCATCGACATGACATTGTTTCATAACCCTTGGACGATCTCCCTGTGGCACACTGTCACAATATTCTTTGTAATGTTTGTTGATTTTTTTGTTGACAGAACCTACAAAGGCATAGTGCCCTATGCCTAAAAAGGGGAATATCTGGCCAATCCAAAGATCCTTTTGCTCCAACAACAAGACATCATGGCTCGCTGAGCTGGGCATGGGTGTGCTGGAAAGAGACATGGTTCGTATCCCTCGCAGTGACTAGCTACCTGGTCCTAGTCTTGATCAAATCTGCTCTCATGAACTATGGAGCAACTCAATCAAAAAGGACAGCGATCGACGTGGATGGAAACCTACAGTACCACCGCCGGTTGCATTCGACGAGCCCGCACGAAGATTAGATCCAACAGGTTTCGATAGCTCAGATCCTCAAGTAGAGTTAGAAATACTAGCCAGCAAACGCTTCTTTTGTACCGATGTGTCCGGCGTCTTCGATCCCGCGTTTTGGCTGCTGGCGTTCATCTTTGGTTTCGAAACGAACAGGCTAAAAGGACCACGACAACCAAAGAGGACAATGCTGATGGGAGGAGATGTGCACTTGACTAATCCAGGGCAACGCTTGGGGATCTACCGGCACGGTAGCCGACGAGGTGCGCTTTCGTTGAGACACCCATTCGCGACCAGCCTCTGGCTGTCTTGCTATCAAGAAACATAGGATGCACTCATCAGAAGAAGAGCCAACATGCTCTCCAAACAAGCACTGATTCGAAGAAGATGCTTTTTGTTTGCCTCCTCTCCTGCAATTCTCGGCGTTGCCGCCACATCCACTGACAAGAACGAACACGACACTGCCAACACCTCTCAAAAGTATGCAAGTTTGTCTTTTTCCGCGACGTAGGTCTGGTTCGCCATGGCATCACCTCTTCTCGATTGCCATCCTCCACCTCCAGCGCCCTCTTTCAGCCCAACAACTCGACCAGCCCCGCGACCTGCACAAGCGCCAAACACCTTGGCCAGCACCTCGACGAACCCCGCGACCCACACACACACGCCATATCCTTCACCTCCGCCGACACAGGCTCCAACACCTTCTCCTACGCTTCCTCCGTATGACCTTGGTTCAGCCGCTTACCCCTATTTTGCCCTCTACTCTCCTTCTTGGTATGGTTTGAATCCTCTATCAGGCACTCTCTGCATTGTCGCTGAAAATGCCGAGTTTTATTCTGTCGGTGAACTCTGCAATCCTCACTCCAATCATCCTCTCAACTTCGATTTGTGTGTCGATCCACATAAGTTCGACGGCGGCGACGACATCATTGTAGCAATGGCTTCAACATGAATGCTCCCTCCACGAACAATTTCATGCCGGAGCGAACTCATATCGCTGTCAATCTCGCGGGAGAAGGCGGTGCTCCCTACCTAGCAAACACTGCCATTTCAGCCCAGCTTTGGTCTCAAGTACCTTCAGCACGAGTAAGTCTACACCGACCGGTATGCGACACCCTCTCAATCGTTTGCTTGTTCGAAGCGTTCTGCAGTCACTGGGACTGCAACCTTTTCCCGAGTCCCATCACGTTCGGTTAGCTTCGATCACTAGCGAATAACCCGACTTCTTCTTCGTTCAATGAACATGTACCACTATGTGCCAATTCGCAGTCTCAACGCGGGCCCATGCGAGGCTGACTCCAACTCCATGAAGGGATTCAGCTCTTCAGCGTTCAGCGCATCGGCTCCGCTGCATTGCTAGATCGTAGTTCACTTCGACCGCCAGACACTATTCAAGTTGACCTGGTGTTGCCAATGTAGGTAATGATCAAGTCGATTCCTGGCTCTATGTTGAGTTTACTCGAGAGATGATTTGCGATCCTTTTGCAGAGCAACACCTGTGTGCCAGTGCGGAATGCCAAACGTGGTTTGACAAAGAATTCTCGGTATGAATTCGACTTGGTTTAGCTAATCTGCGTGGTTCGCTCGAACCGATACCATTGGCAAAGAACACTGCTTGGATTGGTGATCTTCCAGGTCATACGATTTTAGCAAAAAGTGACTGAACTAAGTAAGTTTACCCACAAACTGCCGAATCTTCCAGGTGCCCTTGTTCCATTGTTGATGTGCTAATTCCATGCTCGGTTGCGTGCCACAGAATCTGATGTCTTCACCGGTACTCGCGACGGAGTCAACTGGAATACGGATTGGTCCTTCTGTTTTGACTTTGGATACCACCCAGCTTGCCTTCGAGCTGCTGGACCCGATGGGACAGGGCAGCAGTGCTGCTATGACGAGAACGACATGCTTACGCGGCGTGTAACTCAGACTTCGGGCTCATACGACCCCGACCACCAGGTGGATGATGTCGACCTTTACAAAGCTTCGTGCAAACATTATCTACTGCGTATTGAACTCTCTACTACTAGTCAGCAGCTCGAAGGAGAGTTTGGGCGCTCTAAAAATGGATGGAAGGCATGAGAATTGTCGCTACAGTCGTTTTACTTTTTTTGGTCATTTCCCTGTGCTTTCCGTTTTGAAACTAATCAATCATCTTTCCTTACTTGGACATTTTGCCCAAGAAAACAGATGCACCGCCAGCCAGGCACAGTGTCGCCACTGTCAAACCTCCAACCAATACCATCCAACGTTTGCGCTGAACCGAATCTTCATACTCCACAACTGCTTCCAGCAAATCTTGGGGATTGCTCTTCAGGTTGTATTCATCCCGGATGATATCAGCAGCCTTTTCACCAATCACAACACAGCTAGCCTGAGTATTGCCAGAAACAACCTCTGGCTGAATAGATGCATCTGCAACACGAAGACCCTCCACCCCAAACACCTTTAGGTTGTGGTCCACCACAGCCTCCTCTTTGGAAGTACCCATCCGACAAGTGCCTGCAGGATGGTAAAGTGTTGTTGCATGCCGGCGGGTGAACTCTTCCCAAAAGGCATCTGGATACTCCTCTGCAGAAATTGGAACATTGTCATCGTGGGTGGGAAGATTGTATTTTCGTGACAAATCCTTGGGGGAAAAGGGCACTGTCTTGATCAAATCTTGAAAGGGACTGGCTGAGGCAATGTCAATCCCCTTTTTCAAGCACGCTACCATGTCCTTGACATCTTCTGGGTCCGACAGATAATTGGCATGAATGGCAAGTCCATTGTTATTGTTAGTCTTGCTGTCGTCACCATCCTTGAGTGTGACGTATCCTCGCGATTTTGGATGGAGTAGAGTGCATACAATAACCACTGCTTCTGCCTTGGGCGAGAACTCAATGTCATCCAATTCCCACAACTCAAAGTCCAGACCAATATTGTCGACCATGACTTGTTTGTCAGGGGCCGAGCAAAACATGCTGAGTTGCAAATTGGGTTTCATGGACATGAGTTCTGCCAGAGAGGAAACATTGTCGTGTTTTGATGAACAAAAGACTGATGCATCATATGTAGAGGACGTCAGCATTCCCTTGTGCTGAAAGAGCATTTGGTACAAGTTTTGAAAGGCAAACCGGGGTGCTTCTGCCTTGTACCCATTGATAGACCCAATATCCTGGTTGGCATGATTTCCCAATTTGGGCTGGAATCGAAGCGATGCCACAAGGTGGTCTTGCAAATTCTGGCCCACTTGTGGCGAATCCAGTGTGGAGCCATTGGGGCCAATGCCAGACTGCAAGAGAATTTGTGGTGAGCCCAAAGCACCCGCCGAGAGAATGACTTCCTTTGTACAGGACAGTTCCAACACTTTCTTATTGTTGCTGTCTCCACCACCATCTTCTACCAACTTGACTCCTGTGACGACTATTTTTCCATCCTTGGTTTGAGTAATCACTTTTTCACATTGGGCTCCTGTTAAGACTGTCAAATTGGGACGTCTCTTGTCAGTAGCCATTAGGGGATCAATGTAGGCTCTCGCAGATGTACACCGGGTACCTTGTCGGACGGTTGTTTGATGCACTCCAGCAATGGATTTTTGGGTGCTATTCCAGCCACGGTTGTAGTCTCCTTCCTTTCCCAATCCAACCTCCTGGCACGCCTCCAAGAACTTTTCGACCAGGGGATTCACAGGTTGTTTGTGAGAAATTCCCAGTGGACCTTTAGCATCGTTGTTTGTCTTTTTCTTGTTGTTGTGTAGTCGGGAGGGATCACATTCGGTAGTGTCTTCGATTCGTTCCTCAAATAGCTTTTCAATGCCATTTTTCCAACCCCATCCTTTGGCACCATGTTTGGTTTCCCATTCATTGTAGTCATTGGGATGTCCACGGACCCATGCCATGTAGTTGATCAGAGAACTGCCACCCATGCCTTTACCACGGGGCCAAAAGGATCGATTCTTGCGTTCGGGTGGACACCCTTGATAAGTGTTCATTTTCAAACAGGCATTGGGAGCCAGCGGTTCTGTGAAGAATGCCCAATCCATGGTGGAGTGTTGGAGTTTTCCACAACCAGCAGGAATGGCGGCATTGATGGTGGTTTCGGCCGAGTGATAGCGAGGACCCGCTTCAATCAGGAGGACTGTGACACTCAAGTCTTCGCTCAATCGCGATGCCAAAGGACATCCTGCAGAACCAGCTCCAACTACGATAAAGTCAAAGGACGAGTCCTTTTGCAAATCAGAAAAGGTAACATAAGGCATGGCGAATTAGTTTCAGCTACCGCAAAGGGTTCAAGGCAATGGTCAGCTGGCTAGCTAGCTCCTGATTCTCCTTCACCATGTACCCTTCAGTCAGGGTGATCTTCGTGGTGGTCTTTGCTGTTTGCTTGGTGCGAGCATTGAGAACACGGGTTTGACCGCTTTTCTCGTTTGGATCTTTGGATTCCCATTTGTGACGTCATGATCCGAACCCGTATCTTTTGGATCTTTGTCCTGATCGCGCTTCGTTGCCGTTTCCTTTCTCTTCCTCGAGGAAAGACCACACAAAAACTAATTTGAAAAGAGTTTTGTTTGGACAATGACTACTAGTATGTCTACCATGTTGCGTTCGCTCCTGCTGCTGCCTCTGTTGGTGTCGTTGGTGATTGCCGGCACGAACGAAGAAGGTTTGGAATTCTTGGAGAAGAACAAGGACGCAGAGGGTGTCATTACGTTGGAGTCGGGGCTTCAGTACAAAGTCTTACGAAAGGGAGAAGGTGTCTATCATCCTACCGTGGGTGCACCCTGTTCGTGCCACTACGAAGGTACTCTCATTGATGGCACCAAATTCGATTCCTCCTATGACCGAGGATCACCCACTACGTGAGTACAGTACACTCATTATCTACCCTAAAGAAAGATGGGAATTTTGGGTATCTATGTCCAAGACTAACACTTATTTCCTGTATTTCTATTCTAATTTTCTAATTTCTGTTTCTATTCTTCAGATTTGCTCCCAACCAGGTGATCAAGGGATGGACAGAAGCCATGCAATTGATGGTAGAAGGAGACAAGTGGCAAATGTTCATTCCATCAGGTCAGTCATAGACAAAAAGGGTATATGATAGAAAAGGACCTGATTTCTTACCTTTTTCATGTCTTTCTTGATCTCATTTAATTCACTTTTAGAGCTTGGATATGGTGACAATGGAAGTCCTCCCAAAATTCCTGGAGGCAGTGTCCTGATCTTCACTATGGAGATTCTAGAAATTCAGGGAGACAAGGTGGGTCTTTTGCTTGTGCAGCCTGCAGTAGTTCATGGATTACTCAAGCTATATACGCGAGGAACTCAATTTTCTATCCTTCTGTTCTTTTATACATTACTAGGTCCCCGCCATGACCTGTACCGTGACACTCGAGGGTGACACCGTCCAGGGCACGACCGGTTGCAACGAAAAGGAAGAAAAGTACGTGGAAAAGATCAAGGCATGGGAAAAGAAAAAGGTCTCGACCGAAATCAAGCGACTTGGCAACATGAAGGACGGCAAAATGAAGCCCGAGTTGATGGCATGGATCGATCGTCGCGTTCACATCCTCCAACAAATGCCAAAAGAAGAGGGAGATGAACTTTAATAATAATAAAAGAATGACAATCTACAAACGAAGGCTTTGAGGCAAACCAAAACACGAGCAACTAACTGTGGGAACCAAACGGTAGAAGCGCCAAAAGAGTTGGAATTTTCGTTCGGGTTACGCAACTTCTTAAAGTACACTAAATGTTGTGCCTTGCTTCGTTTTGTCATGTAGTAGTCCATCCAGGGTAAGGATGACAGTAGCCAGCAACCATCCAACCATCTCGCTCTCCATGGCGGTGGCGAGTCCTATCTATTCTGTCGTTTTTGCAACATGCAGTAGTTTGCAATGCAGTAGTTTTCTTGCTTCTGCATCAACCAAAAGCCGGTCCTCTAATCCACCCTATCCAGAGAAAGTCAACGATACTTACTGGACTTGGCCCAGCCGCTCTCTCCCGTCATAACGTCTTGGGCCGCCACCAAGGACATGTCTTCTTGCTCTCTTCCCCCAACAACATAGCCATACAGGTAGTGGCCAGGGGACGCCCTTACGACACAAGACCCCGCCGAGATTTCCACCTGCATGTGAGAGCCACTTTCAAGCTTGTGACTCCACCATACGAACTCTTCAAAGACGCCAGGTTTGGCTTCGACCACGGATCCCACCGCAATATCCACCATGCGCTTGGAGACCACCGTTCCATCGTCATTACCTCGAACTCGCACCATGGCATCCGCCGGGAAGCATGCACTGTTACCGCTAGCGCGGGGATCTCCATCGACCACAAAGCCCGAATCCAAGCAGTACCGATCGGGTGTACACGCTTGTACGTCCGTATCGCAACCGGGAGAACATCCCTCGGAGGAAGATCGAGAGAGAAGAGCCTCATTGCAGTCTTTGTCGTGGACGCACCCACACCGTCCGCTGGGCATATCGTAGTGGTCGGGAATCCCATCATCGGGTTCATCCACCCGACTTGAAGACGACGAATCGGATGGGGAAAACTCTAGACATAGTTGGCCCAATAGTGCCATATCATTGTCCAGACATCGGTGGTTCTTTCCTGCCCCACCGCCCTCAGCGTTACATGCCCCTGTGCAAGATCCATCCTCACCTCACATAGGGACGTCGGTGGGGCAATCCAAGTCGGATGTGCAAGTCATGGGCAATTCGCGATGTACAGAAGATCCTCTGAAGGAGGAAGCCTCTATCTTCTCCTTTGCAAAGGCAGAAGGAGCTGCAGCAAGGCAGCTGAGGAACAGGAACTTGATTGGAACCGACAACATCATCATCGTCAAAAAAGTAGAGTGGAGCTAAAATATATTGGAAAGACAAAAAATGAGAGGGTCTCCAAAACTGTCCGGAAACAGGTAAGTTTCACCAATCCTTTTAATTAATTTCACGTTTTTAGATTCATTTGCATGAAAATATTTTCACGAATTTGTACAAAAACGTATCAGCTGTTAGCTGTGAACTTCTGTCTCTGAGTATGTTGGTTCAGTTTCACACTTGTAAAACTAATTTCACACCTTTGAAACTTTCAAAGTCAAGCAGCGTGGTGTTTCCGGACCCAACGTCACCAAAGCAGGAAGTGGGGTCCTTGCCGTTTTCCCCAGACATCTCCATGATGAGGTAGCTACCAGGTAGCTAGTAGCTAGAGGGACGCCGAACTCATTTTCTGAATTTGTTCTTCGGGGGGGAGCCAAAATTGAAATCACCTAGGGTCACTTGGAGCAAATGGAGAGGTATTGCAACATGCTTGTCAACAGCAATGAGAGTACACCAACTATTAGCAGCCAGCTACCGGTATAATCCAAATGTAGAAATGTGCCACGTTTGCTTGCCTCTATAGCCTATTGTTTGTTTTTGCGCTTGGTTTGTCCACTCAAGGATTGCCAAGATGGCTGAGCTCGGTGTTGTTACCATTGGGGAATGCGAGCAGGAGCACAGAAAGTGCCTATTCGAATGTCATGCAAGGTATTGGCCTCAACTTTGCCAAGGGTGCACCTGTCAAGACTTTCGATGATATTATGTGTCAAGGTGGGGTATCTGAATTGAATGCTCTGCAGCGTAGAGAACCACAGGTCTGCACAAGAAAAATTGGCAAGGCTTTCTGAACTTTGGACTTCTCTCTCGCAGAAGGAAGAATTTGAAAATCTGGAAGAGCCACACAGGAGCAGACCAAGACAACCTTGATAGGAAAGGGATCTGGGCATCCAAACAAGGAACTGCCCAACTTCTACAACCTGAAAAAGATTGCTTTTCCTATGTGTGCTTTGGAGAATGTGAGTGAGGAAGGGGCAAAGCTTGCTGTGGCACATGGGGGTCAATTTCTGATGGAAGCTCCTGGGAGTCATTGGTTACGTCTAGAGCACTGAGCCTTTCTTCAGGGCGTGGCGTTGTATGCTCCAGCATAAGCAGCTAAGAAATCTCTGTAGAGGCGCCATGCACAGAAGCTCTGCCCAGTAGATCATCATTTCAACCCTGCCGTTACCTGCTTGGGTCAGCAAAGGCGCCCCCTCAGCTGGCTGTGCACCAGTTTAGCTCTTGGAAGCAGAGCACGAGGCTTACAGGGGAGGGGACGGCAAGGCCACACGGCGGTTCTACAGTTTGGCATATGCGATTCTGCTGAGGATGGTGGGTGGATTCCTACATGCAGCTCCTCTGGCAGAGTTTCTGATGTGCTTGCCATCCAAGATTGATACTGAAGAAGGCTCAAGTACCGTAGACTGGCTAAAAGGGCAACCCGCAGGTACTGTAAGGTGTGAAGAATGGGGTGCCCGAGGCGTGCTTGGTCGTCTTTTGGAAAAGCATCCATGCCTGGAAGTGCCATAACTGGAGCAAGCTTTTGTGCCTATCCCAAAGACGAACTAAGCACGTCTTTCCGGATGTACAAAGGCACCAGCCCTCGCTGGTTTCCGGACAAACTATAATAAGCATCAAGTCTTTCTGACTGTAAAACCTTCTTCTTTTCAAGATCTTGGGACATTAATATTTATTTATGCATGCTAATACTGGTACCAGGTGGTACAGGGTACAGGGTACAGCTCTGTAATAATAAAAAATGGCTCCGCCTTGGGCGACGGCACACGGCAGCACGGAATGAAAATGTCTGTGCGATCCTGTTGAAGTTCCGTCTATCAAACCGAATCACCCCCAAATATAATTAAGCAACAGAGGAAGAGGGATTTAACTTCCACCAATCGCGAGGAGTTTAGAGAATGTTCTGTCGAGAGAACGGGATTCTTACCGCTTTGGTACCGTACCGGTAGCACTAATACATGTACCGGTACCAGTACGTGGTTTGCGTAGTGACGCATAGTCACTAATTAAGTAATGGTCGGAGGAGAGGGTGAGCTTCTTGAGAGAACAGCAGAAGACCTTTTGAGCAGCAACAACGATGCCACAGAGCCTTTGAGCCCTTGTTCCCGAGTTCATTCTCACTCTTTTTATTTACCATTAAAAAACGGCAAGTTGAGTTGAAAACTTACTTGAGGAAAGAGAAAGACCTCGCAATGATGATCAGGACGTCAGCTGCTGGCGGACGAGCGGCGCTTGTACCATGGCTCCTCATGCTGCTGCTGATGCCTACACATACTGATGCCTCCAAGGTTCCCTGTTCGGTAGAGAATGATGTGTGTAGCGAGATGCTTCGAGAGGGATCGTATTGCGTGGATGGATACTGTACCAACCCCTTTTACGCCGGAGGGTGTCTCCAGAGCTATGGGTACAATCTATCTAATAACGAAAAACGCATTCGAGTCTGTCATTCCGAAGATCCACTCGAAGCCGAAGAGTTGGGATTCTGTCGTCCAGCAGTACGTACCGTGCCGTGCCGTGCCGTAGCGTACCGTTTGCGTTTGCTTTGACTCGAGAATGCCTTCTAACCTACATGTATATGTTCTTCCTCGCCTTATCCGCACTGTAGACGTTGGACTACATCGAGATTCGCCTTGCCTCGCAGGTACGTACGTGGGCTGGAAGACAAGAGCATGTCTGTCGTGATAACCCAGGTTGATTTGATCCCGCTACACTTATAGCTCACATCTTTCCTTCTAATTTCATGTAACTCATCAATAACATCAGAATTGGGAAAGTGTCTTTTTTGAAGCTTGGATTCTGCAAATCTTGCTCACCGAGATACTCGAAGTGCCCGTGACGGTGGAAACGGGAGTTCCCGGATACAGTGTGGATTTTTATCATATGCACTCGGCGCTCGACTATGGAGTCTTTGATGAAGAGTATCACGAACTCCAAGTGGCCGCCGACGTCAAAGATTGTCGACTCACCAAGACGGACGATCCCGACAACTACCAAGCCTGCTTTCATGCTTCCACGGAAGTTTGGTGGGACGATCGCGGCTTTGATGCGCATCCGCCAGCATCGTCGGAACCACCCAGGGAACTGGGAGCACTCGGGCAGAATAGTTGGTTCGTCCCAAAGTTCACGGCGCAAAATGATACGTCACTACTGTCCTACATTGGACTACAAGGGCCTCAGAATCGACGAAAGCTGGCAGAAACCTTCAAGCGGCCCACCAATTTTCGCGACTACTGTGAGCAAGTCTCGGAACGCCAGTGCCAAGACGACAATGCGACAAGTAGTATTGCCACCAGACCACCGTTGGATGACACAGAGGGAGACATGTTCTTTGTCGAGGGAGTATACACGGGGCACTTCCGATACACGGAGGAGAACGACTGCGACAAACATCCTACCAACTGCACTGGACATTTTACCAATTATCCCTGCGTCTGGGAATCCTATGCGGAACCCCAGATCTATCATCATCAAATGGGCTTTGAGCACAACATGTATACATACGCTCAGATGACGCAGATTTGGTCTGCGGCAAACGCCACCAAGGAGAATGTCATTTCCATTTGGTACGTAGCCACCGTGATCTCCCATGTAGAAAGACATGATGATTGTCGTCAGCTAGAGGACCGCACTTACTTACTGACTTGCTCTATATATTGTGTGCTTGCTTTGCAGGTGGAGACCACAAATCATGTACGAGAGCTACCTTGGTACTGACACTGAAATGACCCAGGTTGTGCTGACACCTCCAACGCAAGGTTCGTACGAAAACGTGCCGTCTGCTTCGCTTGGCATGCATGCAGCTCGATCCTCACTCAGTCATTCATTCTCACTGCCTTTTTCCATTCATTGAAATGTTCCCAGAATGCTCGGATAACCGAATCAATACGAACAAGCGTTGTGATGAAGATAGAGATCTATTTGATATTGTGGGGAATCCCGTAGGTGCTTGCGATTCCTATTCCCACACACTCCAAAAGGTCTTCTCCACGGCCTTGAAGGAGGTTTCCTTTGACAAAAACACTCCAGAAGAATTCTGGAGCCCGGCATACGATGTCCTCCTGAACTTCAAGCTTTCGTCGTTGCAAATTGGTCAGATCTTCCAGTATTGGGCCAACAAAACCACCGACAAGGCGAACTTTGATTTCAGGTGGGGCCCTTCCAACTACCGTAGTGTACATTTATCTGATTGTAAAGTTGGAGTAATCGTCGTCTCACCAGTAAGTTGTCTCTTTCTCCGTTTCCAGGGATGCCACATGCGAGTGGGTGATTGACCAGTAAGTACAAGAAGCAACATTGTCATGCAGTTGAATTCAGTCGAGATCTCATACATCGTCCTTGCCTGTTGTGTCGCAAACGTAGCATGGATTTGATACAGAGGTTCATACCGGATACATACCCTCGTGCTGTGGTGTACGAAAATGACTCGGGAAGTGCAATGCATGTTTCAGCACTCGTCATTGCATGTTTGACATCATTGCTGGTGATCGCTTCCATTGGCGCTACGCATCTCAAGAGGCAAACGAAAATCATGTACTATACACAGCCAGAGTATCTCTACACAATCCTCGTGGGCTTCTTTCTCATTGCATTGAGCGCCATAATCTTGGCGATTCCACCTTCAGATCCAACCTGCGTGGTGCAACAGTGGCTCTCTAATCTTGGACACATAGTGGCCTTCTTTCCTTTGGTAGCTCGCATCTCGGCCATCAATCAGCTCGCTACCTCGGGCAAGCAGATGCAGCGTGTACGCCTTCACATGAGTACTCTTGGGAAGTACATGGGAGTGGCAGTGTGCCTAGTGATGGCGTACACCCTCGTTTGGTCGCTGGTGGATGCGCCGGGGAAAGCGTATACCTATCAACTAAGTGGTGACAAGAACGACAACGGTGCTACACTCATCAGCGGATTCGACTATTGCGGATCCGATTCGGAAGTTTGGCCCATCATAAACTTTGGCTGGCAAGCACTCCTTCTGATCCCTGGTTGTATGATAGCCTTCTTGGCGTCAAGAGTGCGAGAAGACCTGAACGATACCAAGTCAATGGTTGCGGTGCTGAATACGAATCTGGGGTTTCTTGTTCTCAATGTTGCATTTTTCTTTCTCGTGGCGGATTCAAAAAGGTCCGAGTTGATGGCATACGCAAGTCTCATTCTAAGTGCCAACGTTGTGGCGTCCCTCGGGGTGTACTTCGTTCCCAAGTTCCTGGACAGCGGAGAAAACTTTGAGGCGGATCCCCTGCCTGATGTTTTCGTGAAGACCACGGTTGCCCTGCTAGATGTCCACGGGTTTGCTGGTAAGGGCTAGTTTTGCAAGGGCCGCCATAGTGCCGCGTGAAGTCTCCCTCACGTGCATTTCTTTTCTCCTAGCATGGTCATCATGCCGCGAACCTGTTCAAGTATTCAAGTTTCTGGAGAAGTTATTTGAAAGTATTGACAACATTGCAGCTGAACGCCAAGTTTTCAAGGTAGAGACAAAGGTAGGTCCCCAGGAATTCAACTTGCGTGCGTGTCGCATCAAAGTGTTCATGCTAATCTTCTTTCCAACCAACAAAGGGGGAGGTCTACGTAGCAGCCAGCGGAATCCCAGATGCCAGAAATGATCATGCTATTGCAATGGCGCGATTTGCGTTGTCTTGCATGAAGAAGATGGAACATCTGTTCATGAAGCTGGAGGTCATATTTGGGCCGGACACTGGTACGAACGCGAGGCCCACAAACCATCACCCACTCATGATTGCCACCTTACACACTGCATTTGTTTTTTTCTCGTAGGCGATATGTCGCTGCGTATTGCCATGCACAGTGGACCAGTAACTGGCGGCTTCCTGAAGGGGAAGGGCGCCCAACGATTCCAGCTCTTTGGAGACACCATGACAACAGCAGGTTTGATACAGGCTGCAGGCCAAGCCAGCCGTGTGCACATGTCCGAGGCTACTGCAAAACTTCTTATCAAAGCAGGAAAACGCAAATGGGTTGTGAAGAGGATGGAAAAGTTGCAAACAGAGGAGAAGGTAAGCCTTCCCTGTCGCTCGCAAACACAAGCAAAGTTTTCAACTAAACTGCTGTCCAACCCCCGCACTAGGGTGAACTTCAAACTTACTGGCTCGCCCGTGGTGGAAGGGCGGCGAGTTTGCTGGCAAGCTCTGGTGCTGCCGATTTATCGTCGCAAGGGCTTGGAACTTCTAGTGGTGACTCGGAAGAATCAGACCTTGCTGATGTTCTGGGCCTGGATAGTCAACAAAGGTGGATTGAATGGAATCTTGAGCTTTTCAAAGACCAACTGAAACAGATCGTTGCCCGGAGAGAATCTACAGTGAGATCATCATCAGAGCTGTTTTCTGGAAGCGATGACTTAGATATCGAGGCTGATATGCCACTGGAAGAGGTCAAAGTAAGCGATTCTGTCTGTCGTTTCCGTACTATGTCAAGATGCCGTGTTAGCCCTGACCTCGTCTTCTTCCCCGGGAACTCAACAAAACAAGGAAATCATTGAACTGCCGGGTTTTGACAAAAAGGCTGCAAAGAGGCAACTTGAGAACAAGGAGGTTACGCTTTCTCCACTGGTTGTCGAGCAGCTCAGAGAACTCATCACAAGGATTGCGAACGAATATAATGACAATCCTTTCCACAGTGAGTTGCCTCAACTGGATGCTTTGCTCACAATTTTTGGTATCTCATGACCCTTCGTCGTTCACCGTCCGATCAAGACTTTGCCCATGCATCGTATGTTGTCATGGCAGTTCAGAAGTATATGAATCGTATCGTCGCAGCATCTGAAGTTGACGTTGGCGAAGATGAGGAGCGCCATCGCAGCAGCACCATGGCTGCAATTCACGATCACACTTACGGTGAGGAGTGAGAGATGATTGCGGAAGATAGACCGTTCCAAACATTTTATTTCTAACACAACGAGATTCGTTCCGTCCTACAGGCATAACCTCCGATCCGTTGGTAAGTGCTAGCTAGCATCCATGTTTTTGTGCTCGACAGTTCTTGGATCGCTCACGGACCGCGTTTTCCTCACTTGTCTGCCCAGACGCAATTTGCTTGCTTATTCTCCGCTCTTATCCATGATGTTGGTGAGTGATCTGGGATTTCGAAGAATCCTATTGCGACACAAGTTGCTCATGTCACGTTGTCCTTCTCTCTTATACAGACCACCCTGGTGCGTGCAGGTTGTGTTGTCACGCCCATCGTGATGGCAGCATGCCGCTTACATGTTGTCGTTTGCTCCATCTCCAAGGTGTTCCCAATGGACAGCTCATCAAGGTAGTATCATTGGTTTGACCACGTGCATGCATTGTAACCTTGGCAGCACTTCTGACAATGTACTGACATGCTTTGATCCAAAAATATAGGAGGATGAAAGAATCGCTAGCCGGTACAAGAACCGCAGTGTGGCGGAACAGAAGTCATTGGACATCTCTTGGTTGATTCTCATGGAAAGTGATTTTGATGAGCTGAGAAGTACCGTTTGCCACAACAGCAGAGAGCTTAGACGTTTCAGAGAGTTGGTTGTGGTACGTTGCGGCAATGATTCTTCTGCGTATCATTGCATTGTCAAGGCGTGGCTCATTCATTTTTCTTCTTATGAAACCAGAACTCTGTCATGGCAACTGATCTGGGCGATGCTGAACTCAAGGCACTACGAAATGCTAGATGGGAGAAGGCATTTGCTACTATGGATATTAGCACTACTCACACTGGTAGAGAATCGTTCTCTAACAATGACGAAGAGAACCCAAGGCCAGTGCGGAAGAGTCGAGAGGCGACCAACCGGAAGGCCACTATTGTTGTACGTTTTTTCATTGTGGCCCCATGGAGTTTGCTCTCAATTCCATTGATCTCATCTTTTTTGTTGTTTATCCTATGCCTCAGATTGAGCATCTCATTCAGGCGGCTGATGTGGCGCACATGTCTCAACACTGGCACATCTATAGGTGAGTGGTATAAGATGAACAGAGGTTCTTGAGTTGTTATCCAGGAATCTCAAAGTTTTTCTTCGCAGGAAGTGGAATGAGCGGCTTTTCCGGGAAATGTACAAAGCCTTTCGGGAAGACAGGTCTGACACGAACCCTGCAGGTAGCTAGGCACTGGGCGTGTGTAGACATTGCAGCCATTTCCTTTCTTGTCGTCCTCACGAAGTATTGCTCAAACTCCAACAGACTTTTGGTACAAAGGGGAGCTTGGGTTCATAGATTATTATGTTGTTCCACTCTCCAAGAAGCTTCGAGATTGTAAGTTGACGCTTCTTATCTAGCTAGCTAGAGTTACATCTATTTTGGCCTTGCTCTCACCACCTTGTTTGCCTTTGTTTCTTAGGTGGCGTGTTTGGGCCAACAAGGTATGTGCATTTTTTCCGAGAGGACAGTGGAATGTTGTTTGGAGCCCCCTTAGCTTATCACTCAGATCTAATGTCGCACTAGCGATGAGAACTTAAACTACGCCACGAATAACAGGTCAATGTGGGAGAAGGAAGGAGAGGATATAGTTGCGAAGATGCTGGAAACAGTGGAGGCAGAATACGCGGGGGGAGAAAAGATGGAGCAGCCAGCGACATTTGAGGAGTCCTCTTAGGACTTTGAAGACAACGTCACTGCCTTTTGGCTTTGCACGTACCGGTCCACAGAGATCGATTCCTTTCTGGCTCCGCTGAATCATTGGAACAAGTCTTTGCCATTCTTTTGTATTATACGGATTATACGTGTACACATCAATTGAACCAACTTTTTTACATAACTCGACGCATCATATTTGAAATGAGTAGAGGAGGAGTAACTCGTTGTTACAGCAACTGTCGCATCGTTCTCAATCACTGTACTCAAGTGTCTTGGCCAACTTTGGTTTCTGGCATTCTTCAACAAACCTGTGAGGTAGAGGGGCAAGAGAGAGAGCCAATTGTTTCGACGCCAACTCTTCAATAACTACCCTTATTAGCTAGTTGGCAGCTGGCTAGACCCCCGAGATTGTTGCATCATTCCGACACAATAATTTTTCGAGGGAAAAGCGCGGGAGTCGAGTGACAGTCGAGCTCATCACCTACAAGCCGGCAGTGCCAAAAGCCTGTTTAGCTGGGGACCAACATAAACTCTTTTTCTGAAGGCATGCATTCGACTTGAATTGCCGGTATCGTGGTACTGGTACGAACACCGGCCACATTATGCTAGCTAGTCTTGCTCCTTCCCTCCTCCCTGCCCTCCTGCCTTCCCCCCTTTCCTTGGTTTCCATGTTGCCCTGCTTGCCCACTTGATTGCCTGCCTTGCGTTCCTGCATCGTGCCCCCCCTCGAGCTCTGTCCCCATCCTCATCTTAGCTCTCTCCAATCCATAGTAACTATCTTTTTGATTGCAATACTGGATGGCACATTCCAAAAGACAGCGAAACCGGTGTGTGACCCTCGAGATCTTTGTGAAGTTTCCTGCGAACAGCGTTGTTTCCGCAGGAACAATAGAAACCAATGGATCATCTCGAGGAACCCACATCAGAACCGTACCACAATATACTCATTGATCGACCATCAGGCCATGGATTGCCACAAGGCCACCATGCAAGGACCGGTGCAAAGGTTGGAGCGATGGAATGAACCTCTTAGCTTACATCCTTTGCCAGCAAAAAATATACCAGCGAGTTTCACCTTCCTGCTTGATACCGGTACCAGGTATTGTACCTCGATAGCCAAGTCCATGATCCGAGCGGTAGCCGTTAGCGCAGCCGACCATGGCACCCCGCGTCGTTTACCGCAGTTCGGTTACGGTACACAACCCTAATACTGCAGAAACAAAATGATGAAAAGGTTCCTTTCTTATTTGTCATCTTACCCTGAACATATATATATGTAAGCCATCCCACTACTTGCCACACCATAGCCCCGGCGATTCACGAAGCAAACCATATCGATGGCTAAACGCTTCAATGTTGCGCTTGACAGCATTGCACCACAACTCAGGATCTTTGCCGAGAAGACCATAGAGGGTGTTTACGAGCCCAGCCGGGTTTTCCCTTTGTGCATGATGCGCCACCCTGACGATTTCATCATGCACTTGTCGCTCCTGGTCCGACATGCCCACACCACCATGTATATTGACCAGCAAATCGACAAACTCTGCCGCCTTGGTGGCCTTGTCTTGGACCTTGCCACGGCCAAAACGATTGAAACTGGTCAAGTAGTAGATTTGCCAGGCATCGGGATAACTTTCATAGGTAAACCCGTGATGAACATCGCGACGCCAGGAATCTTTGGGTATGATAGTGTAGAAATGCTGGTCATCACAAATGTCGGCAAACTCCAAGGTGGTGTTATTGCAGTCCCGCAGCACTCGCAAGAAGGATTGAGATATGTTGGTCCCCACAAGTTGAACTCCCCGCAAGAACAAGAACTGAAGTGATTTGTTGCGTGCCAATGCCTCACAGAGCCTTTCCACATGGATTTGGTAGGACAGACACCCGATGGTACCATCTGTGTATTCATAGGATCCCTCCACCTGAAGGAATTCCAATCGAGTATTGTGATGAAGCAGGTCCAACAATGGCCTGGTAATGTCGACACTGACGTGATCATTGGTGTGTGGACCCAGACAGATGGTCGTCAACCCGAACATTGTGGAGCAGCACGTCAAAGCAGTGTCGATCCATTCGACAGTATTCCCGCGTTCTCCTGGTGCCAGCATCAAACACTGCAGTTTGGAGAGTCTAGATACCCCCCGCCAAAACGCCTTCCAACAGGCTGTGGATGGGAACCTTATGTTGTACAGGTTGAGTCGTCCCAAACGGAGTTCTTGCGTTGCCGTTTCGTCAATAGGTTCCCACGGACAGGCGAATTTCTGGCCATCGAGCTGGACATCCAAGCTCCCAATATGATCTTGCGAATCTGTAAATAGCGTGTGGACAAACTCCAATGTCACACTACACCGTTCCAGCGTCAACGTGTCCAATTTCCAATCCGACGTAGTCGACGATATCACGCTGGCAATCTGTCGCAATCCACGATCTTGAATGATGAAGTCTCTAACATGCTCATTGGGGTTAGGTCGTCTGAAATGGAGGCGGCCTTTCAGATTCAAGTGTTTGGTAGCGGGCGCGTTGGTCTTTTTGTGCAAGAGTGTGGCAAAGGTAGTGTCATTGTCGTTTTCTTCATCACTTAAAAAGACGGACATCGTCAACGATTCCAACTTGGCGTGGTCTTGGGTAGCCAAATGCTGTTGAATGGTGGCGGCTCCTTCCGGGGTCCATTCGTAGGGATCCAATTCGAGTTGCCTTACGCGTGGAATCACCTTGTTGGCGACTTGTGCCTGATGTATGCCGAGACTCCAATTTAACTGCAAGGCATTGGTCAAGGTTAACCGATCGACATCCTGCGACAAAAACGTGTAGACATAGTCGAGGACATCCGCCCCATACTTCAAGTTGATCAATCGTTCCAATAGCAACATGTTTTCGTCATAGTCATTTCTGCCGTGCGCGGGTTGGGGAAGAACGGAGAGTAGACTTTGGAAGCATCGGAGTGGAATGCGACCATGTTGGAGCGAATAGGCCGCTTCTAAGAAATCAATGATTCCCTCCTTGTTTTTGTACAAAACTCGAGGATAGTACTGCAAAATCTGTTCCACAACTGCCTTGTCATAGCAACCACACCAGGCAAAGAAATGTAATGGATACATGCCCGCATGCAAATAACCATCATCCTCAACGTGGTACGAGATTGATGCCAAGAGAGGAAAGCGTTGGAGAAGTGTCAGAACAATTTGGTGTGGGAAATTTGGCTCGTCTTCTGGTGGTTGGTACATCATCATAACCCAGGGATTGGCGTCACGAAACAAAGTTCGCAGGCAATTGCGTGCTTGTACCATGGACAATTCTTGCAGCTGAGCGGGTGTCATTTGCAGGATGCGAGCGTGACATGGTTTCTGTATCTGTTTGCAACGCCTGTGGAACTCTTTGAGTTGTGCTTCCATGTCGGCTCGGACGACCGAAACGTTTGGTTTGCCTTGCAGCAATCGTTGCTTTTTGGAAACATGCTGTTCGGTACGAGTGTTGGCATTAATCAACTCGAGAAAGCGGTCGGTTCCAAAGGTGGCAATGTACTCGCAAATTTGAGCCAGTGGCGACCAGACAGACGGATGGTTCAGTCGATGCGTCGCCAAGTTTTCCATCAAGAACAGAAGATCAAATTTGGCCAAATCACTCAAGTCTTGAACATCATTCTCCTCAAAGTAACGTAGCAAATGCTTCCTGTCGCTCAATGTCTTGTCTTTATCGGTTCGTGGGAAGAGCAATGAGATGGCCGGTTGCAGTTTCTCCTGGAGGGACATCGAGACACCATCTTCAGGACCATTCCCTGCAGCACCATCGCTAACTTCAGAGGAGTTGACGTTCATCTCGCTCTCTTGACTTCTACCGAACTAGCTACAGTATAGAGCAAGCTATATCCTCAATCAATCGTCTTCACGGCTCTGAAGGAGTAGTAAAATAAAGACTAATAAAGGTCCATCACTGACGAGGTTTTGAGGTTTTGGCTGATGCCAAAGAACAGATTAAGGATCAGGCTTTCATTGAAGATCTTGGGGGTCCAAAACGCGACCATGTTTTATTAATTAAGTTAAAAGGGCATGCAGGATCCTGAACAAAAACTCTCAAGACCTCTATAGGCCATGGACACGCGTAACCACTCTTCGATCTTTGAGAGATCTCTATTGTATGGCTATCTACTACTATAGGACCCACTGCCCTGCCTTTATCTCTAATAGCACAGCGCAGAAGCTGAGGCAGCAGTGGCTGGGACTCGATCGAGATCTCCATCACGCATCTACAACATCAGGGATGTCAGAAGAAGAAAACAATCGTTTGAATGGGAAGAAAGATTCTGGGAACGCTGGTCATGACGGTCGCAACGGTAGGGATGTCAGGAACTCGAGCAGAAAGGGACTGGACCCAGCAGTAAGGGACGCCCTGATTAAAAGGGTGGAAGCAGAAGCCTTACAATGTCAACAGGACCATGACAAAACCAACATCACAAACACGCAGCAACAACAGCAAGCTGTCAAGAAACTGCCTGCCAGCAAGACCCCTGGAACTTCGCCCACGGCGTTTGCCAATGGTAGAAATGCCAAAACTCAGTTGACAGATACTACCGGTACAGGGGAAACCAATCAAGGGGTAGATGAAGAAGAAATCATAAAAATTGTGGCCAATCAGGCCAGTTTGGCAACCGCACAAATGTTGAAGGAGAACGATGATATTATTATTAAGCAAGAACACAAACATACCGGCATGGAAGCTCAGGAGCTCAGCAACAGCACCCAACCACTCCACCGGCTATCATTTTTCCCAAAGCAACAGGCAGCTGCTGCCAGTATTATTCCTCCTGTCAAAGGATTGACAACATCACTAATTATGTCGGAGGAGGCAGAAGAAAATAGCACGACCACCAACGATCTCATGCAAATGGCAATTGAAATCAATGAAAATGCCAAAATGGAAAAAATTGCAAAGGCTGCAAACTCTCAGAATGCTACAAATTCTATTATTTCAATTGAACAACAAGATGTACAACCAGAAGAAAATTCTCCACAGAGGCAACAGCAACAGCAACAGCAACAGCAACAGCCGTCGAGACCAGGAGCCTACTTGGGTTTACCGGGAGAAGCCTTGCAACGCGCAGCTGACCTACGATTCTCCCTTGTTGGTGCCGGTGCCACTGGTCAACAGGTTGAGCCAGTATTATTGCAGAGGGACGATAGAGATCATCATGATTCCACCACGCCGCTTCCAACAATTATCGATGGATTGCCCACCAGCACTAGTGAACAACAACTGGCAGTAGCAGATCTAGTATGGGAAGATGAAGATGAGGAGACAAATGATAGGCAATCTGCAGCTCCAGTGGATCTACAACAGGTTCAGCAAAGAGAAGAGACTCAGAAAAGACAGCATCATTTGTTTATTGCTGTGGCAGTTTGCCTTCTCGTTGTGGCAGCATCCACTGTGGCAGCTGTGGTTAGAACTCAAGACCAAAAACAACCAGAGGTGGACCTCGTGCCTTTATCAGAAAGTCCCACTGCTTTTGGTTCCATGACTCCATCCAAAGTCCCATCCTCCGCTCCCACTGGGGTTCTAGACTTGCTATTCGATAGTCTCCCTGACTACACCTTGGCCGGCATCAACAATGGCAGTGAGACTCCGCAGTGGAGGGCATGGCAATGGCTAGCCAATCACCAAAACATCACAAACTTGACTGAATGGAGAAAGAAGCAACTGTTTGCTCTTGCCACCTTCTTCCATGCCTTCAATGGAAACAAGTGGAACCCTCTGATAAAGGAGCGATGGATGGATGATACTGTGGACGAGTGCAACTGGTTCTCCAGTGGGTTTGGTTTCTTTGCAACTTGGGATGGAAAATATTACGAGCTTGCATCCCCAGAATCTCCATGCAATGATCATGGACAATTTACCTCACTGGATCTTAATGACCTCCAGCTTTCAGGTCTCGAACCAGTGCTGCCCCCAGAGATTACCCTCATGACTTCATTGTCCAGGCTTCATTTGATTTACAATGATATTGGTGGACCATTGTCATCCTTTTTCCCACCAGAATTTTCAACAATGACTGCTTTGAAATCTCTGGGGTTGTCTGGGAATTTGCTAGGGGGCCCAGTTCCTTCTGAGTTGATACTGCTGACATCATTGGGCGTTCTTGATCTCTCTATTAATCAGTTATCAGGCCCACTTCCTTCTGAGCTTGGGCTCCTCACCACATTGGAGTGGCTTCGCATTGATCAAAATCAGTTGACTCATTTGATTCCTTCTGAACTTGGTGCAATGCCTGCTTTGTCTTCGCTGAAGTTGAACGGCAACCAGTTCACTGGCCCGTTTCCCATGGAGCTTTGGCTCCTGACTTTGTTGTTGGAGCTTCACCTTTATGACAATCAGGTCACCGGAACAATCCCAACAGAAATTGGCATGATGACATCTTTGAAATCTTTGGAACTTCACAACAATACCCTGTCAGGAACACTGCCCAGCCAACTGAATGCTTCCATGGGGTTGAGACTAGATGGGAATCAGTTCTCAGGAACTGTCCCAGGGCATCTTTGTTTTTTGCTGCGGTGTGATTGCTCCCTGAATGAAACTCCTCCTGTTGCCACCTGTTCTGACCTCACTGAAGCTCCACCTGATTGGCCTGGGCGGTTTCCAACAAGCACTGCTGATGTCATGCTCAATATCCAAACTGATATAGAACCACAGGAAACATCATGGACTTGGCAACAACAAACAATCGGGACTGGTGTTTGGGACACACTGGAATCAGGTGTTCCACTGGAATTTAGAAATTATCTTTACTCCTTTCCCTTCCCGGTCAACACTGACACAGCCTACAGATTGATTGTATCTGACAGTCTTGGTGACGGCATAGGCACTGGTTGGATCACTCTGACAGCCACCAGCCAAACAGTGTTGTATTCGTTGGTAGCTGGGGGGAGCTTCTCTGAATTCACCGTTGACGTTTTGGTTGGAGCAGATGGATCTTTTGACGTCTCGAATTCTACAGCTTGATGGTTCCATGTTTTTTTATTGCTATGCAATAGTTAAGAACTTTGTGGTGCTTTCTTGCTCATGTTATACTGGTATCTTTCAAAAGACCACAACAGCATCAGCAAGTAGCAAAGGCTGTTGCTGCCATTCTACGTAGATACGTTAAGGAGCGAGGGGGGCTAAGCTAGGCAGAGCGGTGGTATGGGTAGTGGGTACAAAGTGGTGATGGGCCAAGTTTCGTGCCAACGTGGGCCCTCCCAAGCAAGCAGCCTTATGAAACTGTGTACTTGGAATGCAACAAAATACACTAAGTCTTATTAAGACAAAAGGTCACTACATGTATTGCCAACCGCGGTCTTGGCGTCGTCCTCCACCAGATCCGGTCTGGTTTTGAAGCATCGATTTACAGGCCTCGTGCATGCTACCGGTAGCTACGGCTGTACAGCTGTACTAGCGTGGCTTGCAATTCACAATGGTATCGATACGCAAACCTGAACCGCCACATTGAGAGCAACGGGTGCCGCCGCTTCGATACCAGGTACCGGTAATGGTACCTGGTACAGTACCGTACCGTACCGTACCGTACGGTAGATGCCACAACCGTGATTCATCGAGATTCTCACACATACTGGTACAGGAGGGGCTCCGCTGACGTCATGCTTATTCGGAACTTTCGTGTTGAACCTTTTCGGCGAGACTCGCACGACTCATGCTTGTTGGACTCGCGTGCGAGTCTGTGCGAGTCTACGCGAGTTAAATGCTAGTGCCTCGACCGAACCTGCATCCGCTCTGCAGGTTTATCCGCAAGGTGCCTCCGACCATCCGCGAAGTGCCACCTGTTGTCCGACTCTCTTTCAAGCTCCACCATGACGACCGGAGACCTCTCCAGCGGCTCTGAATGGCAACAATAGTCAAGTTAGACAGTGTGGCAATAATCTGAATCAGTTATAGTAGTTGATTGTTACAGTTTTCATGTGAAACTTCATGTCCTTTGTTGTTTCCGTGCGGACGACTCCATGGAAAGCAGCCTCTTGGATATCAAGATAATAGACAAGATAATAGATGCTCTGACTGTCAGACTCTCCACTAATAGCCCTTCTAATAGCCCTTCTTGTGGCAATCCTCTCGATGGATGTCAAGGCAAGTTCTGGTATTGCTAATCAAGCCGCGACGAGGAATCTTGGGACGGACGGCAGCAAGAGGACCACATATAGGCGTCCCAACATATTCCTCTTCTTTATAGTGGAAGATCTCTCGGAAGCACCACTTGTTGGAGCACTCTTTTCGCGTGTCGCGTCCACACACAACACAGCGCCGCTTGGATGGTTGACTGGAAGCATCTGACTCTCGCTGTTTTGTTGCGTCATGGTATTGACCTTGCTTTCTACCAAAATTAAAAGCAGCTCAATGGAGAAGGTTCGACACCACCACCGCCACACATGCTGACAGTCATCGCTTCCATTTGACTGGCCAATCGATTCACTCCTCCAAACAAAGCACTCGGCATGCCTCCAAGGCGACTGGATATCTCTGAATCGGTATCATGGAGCCCATCTGCGGCATTGTCTTCCTTCCCACTGACCGGAGCTTCTCGGTGGAATGCGTTGTTGTAGCAGTCAAAAGCTAGTCGATCAGCAAACTCTTCCACTGTCAGATTTTTGAACTGTGGAAGGCGATACTTTAAAGCCTTCCAAACATCAATCACAGTGATGCCAATGATGGTAGTCACGCATCGAAACCAAGGATTGGTGGTCTTCCAATAGCGTTCAAGACCAAGGACTGACTGCCTTGCATGATTATGCATGTCGATGGCATTGTTGACTCCAAAGTACAGTGACAGCGCCTCAGGACGCTTGACAGATCTCTCATGGACATTGCCAAACTGGTCTGGAAACTTCGCTTTGTAGGGCCGGCCGTACACCGTGGAAGCAGCATTCTTTGTTGTGATGAAACAAAGTGCTTTCCTCGCATTGTACTTGTAGCCAATTGCCACCAGTTCAATGTTGGTCCGTGGTGTGGTGCATGCCATAACAAGATGAGATCCACTTGGCCAATCCTTCATCTTTTCTTCAATTTCCTTCTTTGGAAACCAACCATGCGCCGTTTTGACAGCAGCGATGAACTCATTGCCATTGGCATTGGCATCTGCCGATTTGTCAATGGTGTAGCCTTTGAATGAGTTGTATTGGTTGGATGCCTTCGATCTTCCGGACCAGTTTGAAGGCTTCCGCTGTCTTGACGCTTCCAAACCAAGAGTCAGCAAGAACAAGATGTCGCTGGTTGTTCGCCTCCATCATTTGGCGTTCCCTTGTGGCTACTCCACAGTTGAAGCTTCCATATGAAAGCCGAAGAGTGCAAGCCCCAGTTGATCCTCCAGCGGAAGAGTGAAGTGGTTGCAGTCTCATCGGTTTAGCTCCACGCTGGATCTCCAAGAATAGCATTATCCCCGCCATTGCACATGCGGCACATTTGAACTCGGTTCCCAATGGCTTGGGCTTCCTGAAAATGAAGGAAAGGAAAGGGAGGAGAGACGTCTTGGTGCTGCGAGGTTGGTAGGGACTCATGAGCTCATCAAGAACTCGGATGAAGCAAGCCACAATCCACTTCGTTCCGTTTGCATTGAAATCTTCCACAAGACCGGCAATGAGATGCCTGGGTTTCTGCCATCGTCAAACGCAGCGTGGAGGAATTGCTTAATGATGTTGAATCGATACCATGAAATCACCTTCTTTCCTTGCTTGCCAGTGGCCTGATCGAATTTGGTTTCGTCGATCTCCATGTTGATAACAGGAGCAAGACGACCTGGTGGTTGTTCGGACTGGAAAAGCTTTTCTCCTCCACGCTTGAGAGGACAAGCAATGAAGATAATACCCCAAACAATCCACCACTCGGACTCTGCAAGCGAAATCGAAAAGTTAATGAGCAGATAATGAGCCAAGTAGATCGAATTGCATCCTGTTAACTCACCAGATACGTAGCCAACTTTCTTCTTTCTTGCTTGCGATTTATTGGACTTGTCAATTGCAGCATTGATGACGCCTCCAGTCCCCAGGCCAGAGATGAATAAGCAACATCAAAAAGGGAAATGAGTAGGATGGATCTGATGTAGAGTCGCAGTTTTGAAATGCCCGCTCAAACTGGAATCCAGCAACACCAACTTTGCGAGGCTCTGGTATTGGATCTTCTGCTATGGATTCTTTGACCATGGTCCAGCTGAAAATGCGCTTGTGTTTCACAAGCTGGAGGCGCCCTGAACTGACTCTCGACTCGGCCACCTGAGTCTCTCCTTCAAACAGAACAGTCCACATTGGCTGGGCGTCGTCTTCTTCCCTGCAATCATCGATGACAAGGCCACAGCGTTTCCGACCAGATCGCTCTTGTACATGCTCCCCAATTCCGATCTTCTGCTTCTTTGGTGACTTCTTTTCCACCGTCCATCCCTCCTCGAGCAGTTGATTCTTTTCTGCCTCATATCGAAGCCACTTTGCTCTGTGCTTGTCCGGATCGGTTTCGATTCCACGGACTTCCATAAAGTTAGCAGCATTAAATTCTTGTTCCTCGTTGGCCAGAGCTTGCTCATCCAAAAATGGGATATTTTCGTCTTGCTGTTCATCTGGATCGACTGATTCCTCCCCGTCAGATTCCGCAACAGTTGTGACTGTGGGAGTGGTCTCTACATTTGAGGACTCCGCTGATGATGCCACACTTGCGACTTCTTCCGGCTCATAATTGATTGCAACCTCGATTCCTTCCTCCTCGGTTGCATTGTCCAAATCTCGAATGACAGTCGTTGGAGCAGGGGGTGGTGGTGGTTCTTCCTTGCCGTCTTCCGAATCCGATGGTTGTGTCCTTGGAGTTGGGAATTCGCCATCCTTTGGGTGCCGGATCTGTTGCGATTTCA